CTTTTCCCACTTCCAAACATAATTGCTGTTTACTGAGTATTCAGCTTACCACTTTACTGGTGGGAGAGGACAAGTGTTACCGCCCATACGTTGACAGTTTGACAGGAGGAAAGAGTCAGACAATCTGTGCATTCCAGCACTGAACACTTCCATACAGAGCACTAACCACTGGCCACAGATGTCAGTTCAATATCTAGTTTTGATTTACGTTTGGTTGAGTTGTCATCTATTGTGAATTCAACGTGAAATCAACAAAAAATGTCACCATGTCATTGGATTTAGGTTAAAAGTAAGGTGGGAAAAAATGGACCTGGAAAGGGTAAGAAGAGGACTGAAGAACACAACTGGAGAGGAGTTGAGGGGGCTGGTGCTGCTCTCAAACCTACAGCTGCAGACAGCTCTCCCACACATTCTTAAAACCCCTCCATCTTGTATGTAATCATTCCCCTTGGCTACTAGCATCACCTTGAGGGCTGAAGTGGCCCTAGCTAGCACAAACTCCATATGGCCCCAGAGAGAGAGAGAGAGAGAGAGAGATGAGAGAGAGAGAGAGAGAGAGAGAGAGAGAGAGAGAGAGAGAGAGACGTAGAGATATCGAGAGCGATAGATAGAGAGATAGCGAGCGAGAGAGAGATAGAGATGATAGCAGAGAGGACGAGAGAACGAGAGAGAGAGAGATTGTGCTAGCTGGGTACAGACCTCTAAGAGAGAGAGAGAGAGAGAGAGAGAGAGAGAGAGCGTGAGAGTGAGACAGAAGTATGTGACCTATTATTGACCTATTGAACACAAAGCTGAGAATCTCTCATTCTCCGACTGGGAATTCTTAACACATGCATCTCTCTTGCTGTTAAAAACCTTATATTACCCATCCATCCTCTATGTCCCTCAGATGAAATATGCTACATTCAGGTCAGAGGAAACACAACTATCGTGAGGCTGGCACTCACTGGTCCCCCTCGGGTCCTCTCTGTATTACAGGTGGTCTTGCTGACCGCCTGGTGACCCTGGTCAGCTGGTCCAAAGGCTGGATGGGTTCACAGGCATCCTGTTATGTATAACTTCTGACCTCACAGTGGGTTGGGCCTCAGATGTGTGGACGAGCTACAGGGAGCTGGTCAAAGGTCCAGTCTTCACAGAGCAGTGCTGTGAACCTGAATCAAACTAGGTAGCTGCTGCCCAGTTCCCATCACACTGGCCTTCAAGGCTTTATGGTCACACAGCCCCTTTGGAGAAGCCCACTCTCCCAGCCACACACACAGGAGTGTCTGACTCCACAGTATCTCTGACAGTGCGGTTGGTGTATAAGTAGAGAATACAATGGAACAGATGACTGTGGTGTGGAGTTGTGTAGGGAGACCCTGTGGTCATTTCCACAGATTTCTGCCCAGCTAGCACATAACGTTCTGAGAACCATATGTTTCTTAGAACTTGGTGAGAGCGTGGTTGTCCTATGGTTATGTTGCATACAACCTTCCCACAACGTTCTGGGAATGGTGCCGCATACCCAGCTAGCACATAACATTCTGAGAACCATATGTTTCTTAGGTGGGTCATGTTCTCAAATTGTTCCGAGAACATTAAGAATCAACGTTTTCTGCAGGATTCCTCATGGTTCTATTTAAAGTCATGTTCTCAGAACATTATGAAACCTTTCCATACAAACCACAAGAAAACATTAGTAACGTTCAAAGAACGTTCTAAGAATGTTATTTAAAAACATATACATTCCGTTCTCAGCGTCAACAAAACTCTATCCTCTATCTTGTTAAATGTGTTCAGGTGTGTTTGCAGTGCCCACTAATTGGCCACACCTAATATTAATGATTAATCAACCTAAAAATGTACGTTCCCAGAACAGGATAAATGTTCACTTCCATTCTCAGATTATTTTTTTTTAAGTTCAGTTTTACCGGTCAGGAAACTTATGGCTTCATTCGCAGAACCAATGGGACACCAAAAACATACTTTCCCACAATTTCCAAGGAAATGTGCTAGCTGGGTACAGACTAAGATTCTGATAAACAATGAGTAACAGGCAGGGAGGTATACAAAAATACACTATGACATCAACACATGTACATGACACACAATACACCACAGCAGAAACAACCCTCACACAGGCCACCACTGAAATACAGAACAGTAACACAAAGGCCAGCATAAAACAGCCATATTTCTACAGATCGGCCCACTTCTCTCGCTCTGTGCCACTGGGTCCACTCCTGTCCCCCTACAGTGCTTGTGTTTCCTTCTGCCTGCCTCTCTATCTCTCTCTCTACTGGGTTCTGATCTTATGTTTTAGCCATCAGGGTACTACTGCTACCTCTCTGCCTCCCCTCGCTCTCAGCATGGACACCAGCCAACGTCAACAGCAGAGGTGAGGACACGATGATGATTTAGCCATGCTGCCATCAGCACCACCACCCAGTACTGCTCTCTGGTGGTGGATACCAGAACTGCACTGTATTCCACAGGATGGTAAATTGATATCCGGTTGGATAGATCAGATTATTAACCAGAACCACATGTTTACAGACGACCATGAAATATGGTTAAGCGATGGCGGCTTGGGTTCAACCCATCTTAAATGATAGTAATCTAGAAGTATTGTTGTTTTAGCCCAACAGTAACATTAAAATTCATATTCAATTAAATTTGTCATGAGGAAAATTTTAAACAGGAGTACATTTTTAAAACAGCTTTTTTCCCCCTCCTCAGATTCTGTGACACATTGTTTTGAGTTCTTTCAATCTCACAAAAGGAGGGCTGAAGTATTTGATTCTACACCATCTGCCTGAAACAGACTACTTTACCATGAAGAGAGAGTGTCAGTTCTACCTTTATACCGAGTGTGAATGGTATCTATGAAGGTGTGGTTGTGTCACATGTGTATGTTACATTATCTGTTGAGGTGCCACTGTTCCCTTGTGGGAGTGAGTGTTGTCTGAACACAGCAGGTATATGTTTTTGTCTGCAGTTGACTATGGTGTTTTGCAGTGTTGGGGAGTAGTGAACTAAATTCAAATCTAGGTAGTGTTTTAAGTAGTTAATTCCTTTTTTTTGCCATGTAGCTAACTACTGAAACGACACTACTTTTTTTCACACAAAAATTAATATATATATATAGGTGAAGTAGGCAATCATTTCCTTTCTTGTTCGGCATCAGACCTGCAGGTAACACTTTACTTGACACCCAGCGTCATAACACGTTATGACACAGTCATAACTTTGTCATTATGTCATAACAGCAGACATAACTTGTCAAAAGCTGTTATAATATGGTCATAACACTGTCATGACACATATATTTAGACCTGTTATTGCACCTACATAGAGTGTCAAACCCACAAAACCCTACCACACAAGGCAAAACATTCCATTACATCATTTTTTTTTATTGACCGTATGAAATTATCATTGCAATTGTGCACATTAATGTCAGACATGCACCTACCCCAATGCTCTGTTGCTGATGACCGGGATGAATGCAGGAGCAGATTTCAGGAGACACCCTCTTTGTGACTGATGACTGACATAAGGGCATGTATGTGATAGGCCTATCTGGCTTATATGATTATGATGGTCATAATGCTTCATGACAGTGTCATAAAGTGTATTTTCTTAGTCCAAGTAAAGTGACACAGGATGGTCAAAATGCTTCATGACAGTGTCATAAAGGGCATTTTCTACAAGCTATTTAGAATATGACGTAAAAAAACATGACCGTAAAGAATTCATTACAACAACAACAAAGGATTTAAGAAACAAACTTTCATACAAAAGGACAATTCTTGGCGGGGAAAAAACTAATTTGAATAAATGTGGGTTTTGACACTCTTATGTAGGTGTCATAGCCAGCCATAAAATAATGCAATATATGGCACAACAGGTCTAAATATATGGGTCCTGACAGTATTATGACCATATTATGACAGGTTATGATAAGTTATGTCAGCTGTTAGGAAATATTATGACATGGTTATGACCGTGTCATAAAGTGTTATGACACTGGGTATCAAGTAAAGTGTTACCGACCTGCCTAATTCTCACTTGAAACATTGTTGTTGTGTTTAATAAGATCAATTACACATTATTTTAACATAAGACCACAAAGTGGTCTGTTCTTGCAATTTGTATATGACATTTCAGATTTTCATATGATAATTTTCACGAAGTAGTTTGGATATAGCGAACTACCCAGCTAGCACATAACGTTAACGTTCTGAGAACCATATGTTTCTTAGCGCTTGGTGAGAGTGTGGTTGTCTTATGGTTATTTTGCACACAACCTTCCCACAACTTTCTGTGAATGGTGCATTTACAAACATACATTACGTTCTCAGAACGTTAATACAACTTTCCATAAAAACCACAAGGAAACATTAGTAACATTGAGAGAACGTTCTAAGAATGTTACAAAACGTTCTCTATCCTTCATCTTGTTAAGTGTGTTCAGGTGTGTTGGCTGTGCCCACTAATTGGCCACACCTAATCTTAATGAGTGTTTGTTTCCTTTGAAATGGGGTCTGTTTGAATAGACTAAAATGAACAGCCTTGCATGAATTAAAAAACATGGCACGCTAGCTCCATTCTGGAGATGCAGTGGACTAATTCCACGGATAGGGAACAGAAGATCATAGGTTTGAATCTCACTGACGCCATGTCACAATAAATAAATACATGTGTTTGCATGATTAATGCCTAAGCAAATTAATTTCCATGTGTCCCATCTGTGCTTGGAGTTCAAAACAGTTAAGTAAACTATGTTTTGCTTTAGTGTAGCTTAACTTCTTCCAGTGTGAAGTAATGGGTAGCTTGGAAAACTATATTTTTAGAGTAGCTTCCCCAACACTGGCGTTTTGGATGCTTCCCAGACAAATCCACAGGAATCCACATCTGCAGTTAAGTAAATCATCCACTGCCTCATGGAGCTCACAGAGGGTTGTGCACAATTTACAATCAACGCAAAAGGTTGTCATATATTCAACAAAACATTTATTGTTGGCATGATAACATGATGCAACCATAGAAAAAGAACACACCGGAAGAACCTGGTAACAATGACGTTCTCAACTGAACTGTACAACGTGAGTACACTACACAAGTGTGGATGTCTTAATTCCACAGTTCACTTCTTTGTGTGTGTGTCCAGTCATACCAGTAGAGGCTCAGTGCAGGTGGAGGTGCTGCTGGAACCACAGCACCAGGTTGAGAAAGCAGTCAGCCTGAGTGTCCACACGGGCCAGAGAGTGGCCGTCCTCCGCAAACCACAGCAACCTGCAGGGGGCAACACAGTTCTATTGATTAGTGCACACCGTAGCAAAACGTTTTGCCACGGAACACAAAAACAAGCATTTCTTATTGTTCAGGTCCCTCCCTGTTTCAGTTTGTTTTGCTTCCATTTGGTGCCTAATGAATATGGAGTTCACACAGGTCCACGAACCATCTAATAACATTGCTAAACTAGGATGGCGCTGAAGTGGATAGCTTCCATCTTACGGGCTCCTGACCAATTCTGCTATTTTGTGTGAATTTTTTTCCCGCTGATCTTAAACTTTTTGTGTACATAATGTTTCCCCCATAATTTTCTTTAACCGAAAACAGCTTCTGGACATCAGAACAGCAAATCACTAACATCCATTTGGATGAAGATTTCTACTTCAACGAGTCGGCAGTTCTGGATGTTTACCCCGGACCTGGCCCTGATCCCCAGGACTCGAAAGAGGAAGCAGCGGCGAAAGAGAGGCAAGCGAGGCGTCTTCATGATTAGACTATGTCGGCGCGCATCTAGACCGCCATTGCCGTCTGTTTTGTTGGCGAACGTTGGAGACTATCCTATCAACGGGACCTGAAGAACTGTAATATCCTATATTTTTCTCTGAGTCTTGGCTGAACAAGGACAATACACCTCGCTGGCAAGATCGGACAGCAGTCTCGGGTAAACTGAGAGGGGCAGGAGTGCGTCTCTTTGTTAACAACAGCTTGTGCGCAAAGTCTAATTTTAAGGAAGTCTCGAGTTTTTGGTTGCCTGAGATAGAATACCTCATGATAAGCTGCAGACCATACTATGTACCAAGAGAGTTTTCATCTATATTTTTCGTAGCTGTCTATTTACCACCATAAACCGATGCTGGCACTAAGACCGTACTCAATGAGCTGTATAGGGCCATAAGCAAACAAGAAAATGCACATACAGAGGCTTCTCGTGGCCGGTGATTTTAATGCAGGGAAAATTACCTAATTTCTACCAGCATATCACCTGTGCAATTTGAGGCAACAACACTCTAGATCACCTTTACTCCACACACAGGAACGCATACAAGGCCCTCCCTTGCCCTCCCTTTGGCAAATCTGACCATAACTTGATCCTCTTGATTGCTGCTTACAATCAAAAACTCAAACAGGAGGTACCAGTGAGGCGCTCAATATGGAAGTGGTCCAATGAAGCGGATGCTAAGCAACAGGACTGTTTCGCTAGCACAGACATCATCCCCACAGTGACCGTACATATCCCAACCAAAAGCCATGGATTACAGGCAACATCTGCATAGAGCAAAACATATAGAGCTGCTGCTTTCAAGGAGCGGGACACTAATTCGGACATCCCGCTATGGCCTCCAATGAGCCATCAAACAGGAAAAGCGTCAATACAGGTAACAACATATCCGCCAAGCTGACCCTCAAAACGGGGGCCCCTCGGGGGTGCGTGCTTAGTCCCCTCCTGTACTCCCAGTTCACCCATGATTGCATGGCCGCGCACAACTCCAAAACCAGTAGGTTTGCTGATGACACAGCGGTGGTAGGCCTGATCACCGACGACGATAAGACCGCCTATAGAGAGGAGGTCAGTGACCTGGCAGTGTGGTGCCAGGACAACAACCTCTCCCTCAACGTCAGCAAGACAAGACAGCTGACCACGGACTACAGGAAACAGAGCGCCAAGCACGCCCTAATCCACATTGACAGGGCTGCAGTGGAGCAGGTAGAGAGCTTCTAGTTTCTCGGTGTCCACATCACTAGGGAATTAATATGGTCCACACACACCAACAAAGTCATGAAGAAGGCACGACAACGCCTCTTCCCCTTCAGGAGGCTGAAAAGATTTGGCATGGTCCCTCAGATCCTCAAAAAGTTCTACAGCTGCACCATTGAGAGCATCTTGACTGGCTGCATCACCGCTTGGTATGGCAACTGCTTGGCATCGGACCGCAAGGTGCTACAGAGGGTAGTGTGTACGGCCCAGTACATCACTGGGGCTGAGCTCCCTGCCATTCAGGACCTCAACACCAGGCGGTGTCAGAGGAACGCCCGAAAAATTGGCAAAGACTCCAGCCACCCAGGTAACAGACTGTTCTCTCTGCTACCGCACGGCAAGCGATACCGATGCACCAAGTCTGGAACCAACAGGACCCTGAACAGCTTCTACCCCCAAGCCATAAGTCTACTAAATAGTTAACCAAATAGCTACCCGGACTATCTGCATTGACCCTCTTTGCACTAACTATTTTTACTCATTGCATACGCTGCTGCTACTGTTTATTATCTATCCTGTTGCCTAGTTACTTTACCCTTACCTACGGTGCATTCGTAAAGTATTCAGACCCCTTGACTTTTACGTTACAGCCTTATTCTAAAATTGATGAAATTCTTATTTTTGTCTCATCAATCTACACACAATACCCCATAATGACAAAGGAAAAACAGGTTTGTAGACATTTTTGCAAGTTATATATTTTTAAACTGAAATATCACATTTACATAAGTATTCAGACCCTCTAGGAAAAGTATTGGTGGTTCTAAACTTCTTACATTTAAGAATGATGGAGGCCACTGTGTTCTTGGGGACCTTCAATGCTGCAGAAATCTTTTGGTACCCTTCCCCAGATCTGCGCCTCGACACAATCCTGTCTTGGAGCTCTAAGTACAATTCCTTCGACCTCATGGCTTGGTTTTTGCTCTGACATGCACTGTCGACTATGGGACCTTATATAGACAGGTGTGTGCCTTTCCAAATCATGTCCAATCAATTGCATTTACCACAGGTGGACTCCAATCAAGTTGTAGAAACAACTCAAGGATGATCATGGAAACAGGATGCACCTGAGCTCAATTTCGAGTCTCATAGCAAATGTAAATAAGGTATTTCTGTTTTTTATTTATAATACTTTTGCAAAAGATTCTAAAAACCTGTTTTCACTTTGTCATTATGGGGTATTGTGTGTAGATTGATGAGGAAAAAAAGTAATTTAATCGATTTTAGAATAAGGCTGTAACGTAACAAAATGTGGAAAAAGTCTAGGGGTCTGAATAAATTCCAAATGCACTGTATATGTACATATCTACCTCAATTACCTCGTACCCCTGCACAGCGACTCGGTACTGGTACCCCGTGTATATAACAAAGTTATCATTACTCATTGAGTATTTATTCCTTTTGTTATATATATATATATATTTTTTGTTGTACTTTTACCCCTTTTTCTCCCCAATTTCGTGATATCCAATTGGTAGTTACAGTCTTGTCCCGTCGCTGCAACTCCCCTACGGACTCGGGAGAGGCCATGCGTCCTCCGAAACAAGACCCTGCCTAGCCGCACTGCTTCTTGATGCATCGCTTAACCCGGAAGCCAGCCGCACCAATGTGTCTGAGGAAACACCATCCAGCTGGCGACCGAAGTCAGCTTGCAGGCTCCCGGCCCGCCACAGGGAGTCGCTAGAGCGTGATGGGACAAGGAAATCCCGGCCTGCCAAACCCTCCCCCAACCCGGACGACGCTGGACCAATTGTGCGTGTGGCAAATACAATTTGATTTGATGATTTGATTAGTAGGGCAATCAGTGCAGTATTGGAGTTTAAAAGAAAAATTAACTCCATTCACCCACATGAAAAAAATACTATAATATATTATGGTATAAACTATAGTATTTACTGTAGTGACTGAAGTCTGCTAAAACACTACAGTGAATACTGTAGTATTTACCGTAGTATACTGTAGTATTTACAGTTAACTATAGTTTAAATACTGCAGTCAAAGAAAACTGTAGTATATACTATAGCAATTAATGTAGTGTTTTTGCAGACTTTAGTATACTGTAGTGTTTACTGTGTCTTTGCAGGCATTACTGTAGTATTTACTATGGTGTTTTTGTTTTATTTTCTTTGACATAGAAGTGGAGGCTTTCTCTTTGAGGAAATCTACTGGAGAAATACCAAAAGAGCAAATGTTCCATAACCTGTAAGTACAGTTGAAGTCGGAAGTTTACATAGACCTTAGCCAAATACATTTCAACTGAGTTTTTCACAATTCCTGCCATTTTATCCTAGTAAAATTCCCTGTTTTAGGTCAGTTGGATCACCACTTTATTTTAAGAATGTGAAATGTCAGAATAATAGTAGAGAGAATGATTTATTTCAGCTTTTATTTATTTCATCACATTCCCAGTGGGTCAGAAGTTTACACACACTCAATTAGTATTTGGTAGCATTGCCTTGAAATTGTTTAACTTGGGTCAAACGTTTCGGGTAGCCTTCCACAAGCTTCCTACAATAAGTTGGGTAAATTTTGGCCCATTCCTCCTGACAGAGCTGGTGTAACTGAGTCAGGTTTGTAGGCCTCCCTGCTCGCACACGCCTTTTCAGTTCTGCTCACACATTTTCTATAGGTTTGAGGTCAGGGATTTGTGATGGCCACTCCAATACCTTGACTTTGTTGTCCTTTTTGCCACAACTTTGGAAGTATGGTTGGGGTCATTGTCCATTTGGAAGACCCATTTGCAACCAAGCTTGAACTTCTTGACTGATGTCTTGAGATGTTGCTTCAATATATCCACATCATTTTCCTTCCTCATGATGCCATCTATTTTGTGAAGTGCACCAGTCCCTCCTGCAGCAAAGCACCCCCACAGCATGATGCTGCCACCCCCGTGCTTCACGGTTGGAATGGTGTTCTTCGGCTTGCAAGCATCCCCCTTTTAATTCCAAACATAACAATGGTCATTATGGCCAAACAGTTCTATTTTTGTTTCATCAGACCAGAGGACATCTCTCCAAAAAGTACGATCTTTGTCCCCATGTGCAGTTGTAAACTGTAGTCTGGCTTTTTTATGGCGGTTTTGGAGCAGTGGCTTCTTCCTTGCTGAGCGGCCTTTCAGGTTATGTCGATATAGGACTCATTTTACTGTGGATATAGATACTTTTGTACCTCCAGCATCTTCACAAGGTCCTTTGCTGTTGTTCTGGGATTGATTTGCACTTTTCGCACCAAAGTATGTTAATCTCTAGGAGACAGAACGCATCTCCTTCCTGAGCGGTATGATGGCTACGTGGTCCCATGGTGTTTATACTTGCATACTATTGTTTGTACAGATGAACGTGGTACCTTCAGGCGTTTGGAAATTGCTCCCAAGGATGAACCAGACTTGTGGAGGTCTACAATTTTCTTTCTGAGGTCTTGGCTGATTTCTTTTGATTTTCCCATGATGTCAAGCAAAGAGGCACTGAGTTTGAAGGTAGGCCTTGAAATACATCCACAGCTACACCTCCAATTGACTCAAATTATGTCAATTAGCCTATCAGAAGCTTCTAAAGCCATGACATCATTTTCTGGAATTTTCCAAGCTGTTTAAAGGCACAGTCAACTTAGTGTACGTAAACTTCTGACCCACTAGAATTGTGATACATTGAATTGTAAGTGAAATAATCTGTCTGTAAACAATTGTTGGAAATATTACTTGTGTCATACACAAGTAGATGTCCTAACCGACTTGCCAAAACTATAGTTTGTTAACAAGAAATTTGTGGAGTGGTTGAAAAACTAGTTTTAATGACTCCAACCCAAATGTATGTAAACTTCTGACTTCAACTGTAGGTAGGACTGGGATCTGAACAGATAGTTCAAAGCTTCTGCTCTTTTCTATAACCAGTAGGGAACACATTATATGGTCTATACTTTGCGTGTAGGTTTCTCACTTATGGGTGGCACAAATTGGGATACAGGGAGGGGAATGGGTAGGGTATATGCAAATTAGATACTGTCGTTTTTACAATAGTTAAAAAACTGTAGTGTTTTTGCAGACTGTAGTGTTTTTGCGGACATTACTGGAGTATTTACTACAGTGTTTTGTTTTGCGGATAATACTGGAGTATTTACTATAGTATTCTACAGTATACTACAAAATTCTACAGTAAGTAATACACATGATCGAGGGATACTACAGTGTGTAGTATAGTGTTCTACAGTATACAACAGTTTACTACAGAATGCTATGGTAAGTACTGTAGTATTCTATAGTAATCTGAAGTATTTTTTCATGTGGGCTGGATGATGATGGATAACATAACAAGCGGTTGTCACCTGACGGGGGAGCCCCTGCTCTTCAGAGAGCGGTACAGCTCCAGACCTTGGTGAGGGGACACTCTCCTGTCTTTACCCCCCAGCATCAGGAGCACTGGGGCCTTGATCTGGACACACACAGAGGAAACTAAATGATATGGTTGTCTCATTGACAGCTATAGGGGAGCCCTTTAAACACACTCGGTCAATCTACTGCAAGGTGCACAGTCAGTGTATGTGTGTGTATTTGTGTGCATGAATGTGTGCGTGCGCTCAAACCTGAGGTGCGTGGGTGATGGGGGATTTCTGGAGCATGGTAGTGAGAGCCTCTGGGGTGGGCAGCTGGTCATAAGAGTACTGCATCCCCACACTGGAATAACGCCTAGGGTAGAGGGAGACACAGGATAACTATCCATCAACTAATCACATTGTATTTGCATAGTACTTGTATTTTTTTAACATCTTTTATTTTTTACAGTCTCTTAAATATACAGTGCGCACACTTTCCGTCCCCCAACTAGTGCACTTCAATTAGTGTTTTAAAGTCTCCACTCTCCAGTCCTATACACTGATAGACAGAGACAGACAGAGTGTCAGTCTCACCAGTCCACGATGTCACTGGTTCCCAGTAAGGTGGCAGCGTTGATGACTGGGTTCCTGACAGCACACGCCTTGTAGAAGTCTGGGTACTGGCCAATCAGGTGGCAGGCCAGGAAGCCCCCGTGGGACCCACCCATCACCACCACTTTATCAGGGTCAAGGGTCACGAGCTTCTCAGCAGTTTGGTCAGCGAGGGCAGTTAGCACAGCCCTCTGGGAATGATATTTAGGAAGAGGTTAGTTGAACCAGATGTGTTAGTAGTATTGAGCTAGAACAAAAATTAGCAACCTGACTGGCACCCTGGGTTGAGAAACACTGTTGTATTGAAGGTTCTGGCTGTAGTTATTTTCAGCTGAGAGCTCACTCGGTACCTGTACATCCTTGACGTCTTGGCTGCCGATGTTACCGGCCAGAGAGAGGATGCTGTCCTGGCCAAAGCCAGTGGAACCCCGGTAATTCACTACAAAACACAGAGAGAGAAACAATATTATATCAGTGGATGATAACAGTGTGTGTGGGTGTGAGCCAAGGAGGAAGTCCACAATCTTACCCATGAGTACAGCAAAGCCAAGTTTGACCAGGACTGCTGTGGTGACATTCCACTCTGTAAAGAACTGGGAGTGCGGCCCACCTGGGAAAGAACACAAATAAGCTTCAGTGAGTCTTCACTGATCTCTTTCATAGATCAGGGCCCATATACATAAAGCGTCTAAGAATAGGAGTGCTGATCTTTTATACAAATTAAATGATATATACAGTGAGGATATGATCCTAGACCAGCACTCCTACTATGAGACGATTTATGAATACGGGCCGAGGAGCTAGATTCTCCAGAGGTTTCTCTCACCATGGACAAACACCACCAGAGGGACCTTGGTGCCTGAAGGAAGGTGGTCTGATGTAACCAGCAGGGCCCCGAAGTCTAGACCAGCTGCATAAGAGACACACAATTTACTTCATCAGCATACATTTATTGTTTTCTCAAAGACAAACAGATATGATGACCAGACAAGTTCTGAACCACCATTGACTGACTTACAGTACTCTGGGTTCTCCTCCTGGGGCGTAGGGCTGATGTCCAGATTATCTACGATAGCACCATGCAGACACGACTCGTCCAGAGGGTCCCAGGACACCTCCCCCTCCCCCCCGGCCGACGGAAGAAAAGCCACTGCCTGCAATGAACCAATGCCTATATGGTAATGTACTGTAACTGTAGATGATAGGACATGACCAGGTAACCTGAATGACCAGAGCGTTGTATAGGGGTAACCTGACTGACCAGAGCGTTGTATAGGGGTAACCTGAATGACCAGAGCGTTGTATAGGGGTAACCTGAATGACCAGAGCGTTGTATAGGGGTAACCTGAATGACCAGAGCGTTGTATAGGGGTAACCTGAATGACCAGAGCGTTGTATAGGGGTAACCTGAATGACCAGAGCGTTGTATAGGGGTAACCTGAATGACCAGAGCGTTGTATAGGGGTAACCTGAATGACCAGAGCGTTGTATAGGGGTAACCTGAATGACCAGAACATTGTATAGGGGTAAACTAAATGACCACAGTGTTGTATAGAGGTAACCACAGTGTTTTCCACAAGCACATGGAGTAGCCAGCCAAATGTAAAAGTAGCCAGCCAGGATCCCCCGTTTAAGTGGTTAAGAATTTTCTGCCAAATAAGCTCTATTTTGGTGGCCTATAGTACATTCTAACGCCTTGATTCCATTCTAAATACTCAGCGAAATTATTGAATACATTATTGAGTTTACCTCCCAGTTTGGAAACATTTGTTGTGGTATTGTGTTTAACATTTTAATTACTGAAAATGTATGAATTCAGTGCATTGTTAGTTTTTTGGGATATTGTCTAGGCCTAGGTCTATATGATCAGGACTATTTTCTAAATTAGAGAACATTAAACCTTTAACATTTATCCTCTTCTCTTGAGATTAAAGTATTTTACTGCAAGATATGAATTGCCACAATTATGTTTGTTCTTCAAATGATGTATTTATTAAGTAAATAGCCCAAATTATCTTGATTTTTTAAAATTAAAGATTACATTTAAAATTAAATAAATGGTGTGACGTGCACTTTTTCAAATGTAAAAATAAACAGAACAGATGCTCAATTAAGTTCTGGGTCCATACATGTTAAGAGAAGATAGAACGGTATCAGTTCAATTAGTCTAAGAATTTCAATTGCAACTCTTTGTGAATTGCAGTATGTTATTTGCTCTAAAAAATACTTGTTTAACAACCGATCCACAGATTTCTTCTTAAATAATCTTGTAAGAGTCTGTTGACTTCCACAGGCTTCAAGCTTCATTTTAAAAGGCATTTTCTCAGCTATCTGCAATACAGGTATAATTGAAGAATGAAGCAGATGTTAATCATGGGCTTTGCTACATAGAAAGCAGCAGTTCACTACTCCATTGTCAACACTGAAAATAACATATAAGTATCATTAGCTTTGAAAACAATTCAATCCGTTTTCTTTCATCATATTTTGGACCAGAGTGAGGCTATTGTTCCACTAGCCTACCTATTGTTCTGTAGTGAGGAGGATTCACCATCCTCATAGAATGTTTTCAGAATTTATCTGCAGTTAATCACCAAAAAGCCTATTAAGAAAGCAAATTAGGAAGCCAAATAAACGGCTCTCTAACTGATGCGATTCGGGAGGCTACTGACGAGTCACTCACTTTAACGTCACTGTCTGGCAAGTCCTGATAGAGTTCATATCAAAAATACAAATGAGATCTTTAGTTTACTTGTCCCGATACAATACCATGGACATATTACTACGTTGTATGATTTATGAATGGCAAGGATATATGAGATCGACTTAATTCAGTCAGTTCGACACCATTTATAAACTAGTCAAGCTTGCTGTTCATCAATCAAATCACAGTAAGCCTATGCTCCAGCACTTCGTGGCTGCACATGAAACACGCAAAAGAAAATAAACAAATGTGCCAGAAAATAATATGCTAAGTGGATTTCGACTTATCGTTACCTCATTATATGGGAGGTGCAAATTGACCCACATAGACGATGAAGGAGCATCATGGAATGGAATAAATGGAACAGTATCAAACATATGGAAACCACATGATTGACTCTGTTCTATTCATTCCATTCCAGCCATTACAATGAACCTGTCCTCCTATAGCTCCTGCCACCAGCCTCCTCTGTGCTCTCTCCCTCCGTGTAAAAAAAATATGACTGCAACTACAGTGTACACAACACACACAACCCAGGTACCGGGAGACGGGACAAACAGCCGACTGTCAACCCAGCAGTGTCTCCCTGTCACCGCTCACTTTGTGACTGACATGTGCCTGTCCTATCAACAGATTGCTAGAAGATAGATATCGTTCATTCTAGCGGGAGGGGGCGAATTGTAAAAAAGTAGCGTAGTTAATTTAAGTGGAAAAAGTACCCGGCTGAAAACGTTAGTGGAAAACACTGTAACCAGAATGACCAGATCGTTGTATGGGGGTAATCTGAATGACCAGAGCGGTATATAGGGGTAATCTGAATGACCAGATCGTTGTATGGGGGTAAACTGAATGCCCAGAGCGTTGTATAAGGGTAACCTGAATGACCAGAGCGGTACCCCCTGTATATAGCCTCCCTACTGTTATTTTATTTTACTGCTGCTCTTTAATTATTTTCAATTTTTTACTTAACTATTTTTTCTTAAAAACTGCATTGTTGGTTAAGGGCTTGTAAGTAAGCATTTCACTGTAAGGTCTACACCTGTTGTATTCGGCGCATGTGGCAAATAAAATTTGATTTGATTTGATATAGGGGTAACCTGAATGCCCAGAGCGTTGTATAGAGGTAACCTGAATGACCAGAACGGTACATGAATGACCACAATGCTGTATTACCAGGCGTGGGGCCTCATTCAGATGGGAACAATGGACCACCATCAGGTCTTTCTGGATGGTGAGCAGCTTCCAGCTCCCAAATTTCTCAGCTGAGGGGAGAGAGAAAGATTGAGCGGTTTGCTACAGTTCTGACTAGTTTCAGTTTGAGAGGCTTGAGACTAATAATCACATAAGGAGAGGAGAGCTTACGGTCAGACATGCGGGTTACTCTCCTAGTGATCCTGTCCACTACAAAGAGGTCCTGGGAGAGAGGGAGAGATGAGAAAGTGAGATCATAGAGTATGAAGTTAATTGCATCCGCTTGTGTGCGTGTTTGTACTATACCCTCCAGTTCCTCCGGGCGCTACTGAAGACCACTCTCTGGCTGTCTGACGCCCAGCAACGAGGTGGCAGAGCCTCATACAGCCCAGCAAACTCATCTAGGGACACAGACAGGGAAGGAGAGTGAGGAGGAGAGCACGGGAACGGGAGGGAGAGATTGGGAAAGAGGGAGGGGGATTGATAGATGGGGTCCGGGGAAGGAAATGGGTGAGAAGCAAGAGATTGAAAGTGCAGTAAGAATGGGGTGCCACTCTCTGTCAAGGTCACAATGTTGCGTTAAAGTTATTCAAATTCTGTACCTTTCTTTGGCCTATTGACTACGTCCACCAGCACCGAGATCTTCCTTGTCTCCAGGTCATACTGTGGACAGAGATAAGATAAGGATATAACAGTATGTGTGTTGCAGAATACCACCAGCGAAGTATAAGCAACATTCCCAAAGCAGCACTCCCCACTGTCCTCCAGAACATCCTTGCTTCTTCTCTGATAAGGCGGTAACGGCTCCTTATTTAAAGGGCTGGGCAGCGGTCAGGAGGTAACGCTGAGGACTAGGGGCTAGACTGGGAGCGGGGGTAAGGGTCTGGACAAGGGTCTGGGAGTCGGAGGCTGGAGGTCGGAGGTCGGGCTGGGGACTCACCTGCTGCATGCTGAGACACTGGCTGTGGGGCCCAAACACCTGTCCCTGCAGGTACACCAGGTAGCGTCCATCAGGGCTCAGACGGGGGGACGAGACGGAGCTGGTGTCCCCAGACAGACACTCTGTGTAAGGAAAGACAAGAAGGGGGTGCAGGATGGAGGTTTGAGAGGAGGAGAGAGAAGCTTTGTTGTTAATTCGTTGTGAATTCATGGTGAATTAACAAGTTGTTTACCATGACAATGAACCAATCAAGAACACATAAAACCCTCACCACAGTTTCCTTCCAGGTCCAGACAAAACAGAGCTGACCTGAAACCAGAATTTCAAAGAGTTATCATTCTAGTCTTTCGCTAAAATAACACATAAGGGCATATCTTGATCAGTCCAATATTACTCTGATGATACTGATTAATGAGATGACGTAAACATAGTAGACTACACAGGCTGTTCCTCACCTCCTATTGGAGCAGAACCTCAGGCCCAGTCTGAAGGGCTCATGCCACCAGCCCACAAAAAACACACCCTCGCCATCATGGGCCCAGAGACCCTGTGTTAACCAGAAAAACAATCAGCATGACAACAATTACTGTACATTACATTTCATGGCATAACACGATATTACATATAATTACATGACTACAAGACATGTCATGTGACTGGTGATCCTTACAGTGAAGTTGCAAATACCATAGGATGCTCTGCCAATGCCTTTATTGGTGTGTGTGTGTGTGTGTGTGTGTGTGTGTTGGAGGTCCTGTTTGTGCTCACCTGGCCTGGGGACACGTATGAAGGGACACCCTGCAGCACTGTTACCGTGCCCTTGGCCACGTCGGCCACACACAGCACTGGGACACTCTTACTGGTCAAGCCTTCACCCCAGTCCTCCCAGTACACACTCTTGTCCTGCTGCACAACAGGGGAAAGGAAGGGCGTTGAAGCCATGAAAAAAGCACTAATCATGTTTACACAACATAATAGTCATCCTAAGAGTACTTCCAAAACCACCTAAATGCAACTTTAAGGACTACGTCCAATTGAATTTATGGCTAAACATACAAAGACAATTAATACAGGAGAATTGATCAGGGTGTTTCTGATACCTTCCCAGAAGGGCCTCCTGAGGGCCCTGCTGTTGGGTCTCCAGCTGATGGGCTGGACGCTGAAGCTGATGAATCTGCTATAGACCTTTTCCCCTCAGCTACATACAGCACCCTGCTCTCACATGCAGACCAGGCCAGGCAGCCAAACTGAGCTGCACACACACACAAACAGACAGAGACAGATGGAGAACAAGAGACAGAGAAAGACAGACAGACAGACACAGAGACAGACGGAGAGAGAGTGTGGCTGATAAATTAAAGCAAATGGCCCTGATTAGGTCCACAGTGGACAGGTCTAGCATCAAACAAAATACACAGAACACTGTAGGCATGTAAATCACTCAAGAAAAGGCCTTACCATCCTCATACACTCTCCCATGTTTGTTGAGAGCTGTGAGATGGAGGATTTTTTTTAAACCATAGTTGCTCCATACCTGAAAAAGAACAAACCATATAAAAGTAAAAGCAAACCAGTACGTATTGTATCAGGGTGGGTGAAGGAATTGAGCCAAATTATGACTGACACACCCAGACCACTCCATCCTTACCTCTAGGAACTGATGTCCCGCACCCTGACTGCTGGTTTCCCTGACAACCGCCTTCAGCGCTCCAGACGGGGAATAGGAACTCAGCAATCTATTTGAGCAGGAAGGAAAAAAGGAAGGCTTGAAAACTGCAGCTTGGAGAAGGACCTATCCTATCTTTAATAATACCTCCACTATATAATCATCTTACACACATTACGTCGTCAGCACCAGACACAGGGATGGTGAATGAGTGAAGTGGGGGAGTGTCTGTCTGTCTGTCTGCCTACTTACTCTCCGTGTAAAAGGCTGCAGGGGCTTGGTGGTAGGATGTCTATGTCTGTCTCTTTACTGTAGTTTTGAATCAGTGTCCACTGCTGGGCATAGTGCAGTCTGGCTCCCCGGACTGTCTCATTCTGACTCCACTCTGAGAGGTGCAGGTGAAGGAGAGTTTGTAATTATGATTTTTTATCAACACATTTAAAAGTAATTCAAACGGAACATTTTTTTTAACCAAGCAAACATAATAGCATACATGCAGTCAAAAAAGAACAAAATACACATAAAGGTTTATAAATATCACAAATCAGGGAGAACTGCTTGTGCGCATATGTTTTTTATGGGTACCAAGTTGTCTACTGTTCAGTGTTCTTTAGTGTGTGAGTGAGTGTGTGTCATAGAGATGTATGGAGGCCTAGTGCCCAAAAGCCTGTTTTAGCATGGGCAGCACCACTGAGGACTTTCACCATTTTTAAGTAGTCAATTTGGTGGGACTTCCTATGGGTTAAGGGAGGATCACATAATTCCATCCAGGTCAGGAGCAAACATTCCATAACTGCAGGTGGCAGTAAATCGCCAACCTTGGCTTTATCTGTTCAAACAACACACTCCAGGTAGCAGCCATAGAGAATTATAGAGGCCTCTAGTGGCCAAAAGGCAATTTTAGCATGGGCAGCGCCATTGAGGGCTTCCACCATTTTAATGTAGTCAACTGGGTGGTACTTCCAACTTCATTGGCTGATCCCTCCTGGTGACCCTGTTGGAGTCATGTCCAGCCAGGTCATCAGGAGGGTTCAGCCAATCGTGAAGAAGAAAATTGACTACTTCAAAATGGAGATAGCCTCAATGGCGCTGCCCATGCTGTCACAGACGCTATAATCACAGATAGAACAATGAGTCAGATATTTCACTGGATGTATAAATGTGAAGCATCCGGTTGGCATTTCCACTCACTACCAAATATGGTGATGTGAGGAAGCCAAGTGGCCGGCAGTGGGAGAAGATGGAGCGAGATGGATTTTGGCCGACATTTGGCTACTTTCCTCATCAATGAAACATTGATCTCCATACAGTTTCCTGTTTCCAAAACTAGAATCTGTAACAAACAGAGTGGACTGCATTTTGTAGACTTTACCCTTTGCCAAAGTTGTAAAAAATGACATTGTTTAGAAGGAGTCCAAGGGCGAATTGAGTTATTGCACACGCGCCCATCACAGAGTAGTCGTTCCCTAACGGAAATATGCAAATAAATACTTGAACGCCCCAATAGGATCTCACTAGCTCGTGCTTCGCTCTGCAAACCTCCTTGCTTGTTCTGCCCACTATGATTAATTTACTCCCATTGGAAATGACAGGCTCTGGTCGATCTTGGGTTAGTTATAGAAATCTTCGCTATAATTGCACAGACACAAAGATGGATCCTCTATGGTAGCAGCAGAGACCGAAGAGGAAGCGAGACACCCCACTCCCTAATTTTTTCTGGTTACATTACAGTAAATGAACTAAGCAGACCAAACCCAGCTGCTATTGCATTGGTGTCTATGGGACAACCCAGTTAAGCAGACCGGAACTGACCATTTCTTTCAATGGTAAACGGCCTGAGTGAACTATATTCGTTTATCCACCATCTTTGGTAGCCGTATACACCCTTTCAGTTTGTTTCCCAATTCAAAAGTAGAAGAAAATTGACTACTTCAAAATGGAGATGGCCTCAGGCGCTGCCTGTGCGCTCACAGATGCCATAATGGGACAGTTACAACGTTGCGATCTCTATACATCTCTATTGTGTGTGTGTGTGCGCAGTGTCTCACCTGTCGATAAAGTGAAACTCGTGCCGTTTAATAGTGCCATGTAGTCATTCGCCGTCACGAAGGCAGAAATAGGGGTGGGATACCCACTATATTCGCGGTACAAAGTGCTGATAGCATCGGGTTCCATTCGTGCCTAGGTGCAGTAGCGTTAGCTAGACCTGCAGCTGTCGACTGTTTTTGGAAACACTTTTACAGTGCATTAGCTAGCTAACTAATCACATTTATCGATTACAGTGGGAACACAGGTGAAATTAAAGCCATGTGACTGCATGCATGTAACGAACGAACATCGATGTATCTGCTTAACTTTAAATGTTATAGAGAACTGACTAATGTTAAGATTAACATAGATGGAATAAAAGTATCAATTTTGTGCGAAATGTTTACTTATAAATCTTTTTTTTTTTAATGTACGAATAGTTTGACGTCTTTTACCAGGAACTCCATGTTGACACGGCGGACGATACCATTTTAGATTGAGCAATACAGGGGTTGATGGAAGAGACCAAACGTAAGGCGGCAGCAGCAACACATGAAGCCGTTAGTAGGATTCACAAATTGAAACTAATGGATCCTTGGGACGTCACCCCATTGAAGTTGACATTTAAAACGGTAGGGAGGTCCAAAGGATCCCGGATTGCAATAACCATTCACAAAAAACAATTTGAATCACGCAACGATCCATAATTGGGACCATTTCATGCCTTGCCTTTGGTATTTGCATTACAATGTCAACATATATATTTTTAAACCCACTTAAGGAAAATAATTTAGGACAACAGATACAACAGCCTTAGTGTGAGTGTTTATTACATTTAATGTAGCCATAATTAATTTGCCTTACCCTTTGGGTTATTACATAGCATTGCTTGTCAAAATACATCTCCATTCTTCAATGCACTCCTTGAATACATACATTTGTATTTGTATATACATATGCATGATTATATGCACAACCTGCATAAAAATATACATTAATGACAACTCTTAATTCTTAGTCCTCTTCCCATATTTTAAGTCTGTAAAAATAACTTACTTTAAAAATCATGTACTGTTCTCCCACTTTCAATAAATTAGAAAGTAAAATACATTACCAGAAATGGTTTAGATGTTCTTCCAAAATATTAATAAAAAAGGTAAAATAAACTACCTTTTTGTTTTATTGTGGTGTTAAATGAAATAAAAACACACATTTGAATTATCTGCAAAGTCCCTGGTTTGGCAGCAGCCACTGGGTCCTGTGAGACGAGGGGTTGGGAGCAGGATGACAGTTTGGGCCGGGGGGCTGGACAGAAGGGTGCAACGTTACACTACAGAAATGTACTGTGTAGAACAGATAGGATTGTCTGTCATTTGGAATAGGAAATCATGTCAGCTCTATTCATTACATTGGTCTGCAACATTCCAAACATTTTGGCTCAATGAATACACCCCTGTATTCTTTTCACCGGTCTTCGTCCTATTTGGCCACGGCACGTTCCACCAATTCCTCTCCTCCATTCCTCACATCACATCTGCTCGCTTGTCCCTCACTTTGTTCCTTAGTTTAGTCCTGGCTTTGAATGCCGCTGAGTTGAAAAGATGCTGTGAGAGGAAAATATAATCAAAAGGTCAGACTTACACCCTTCAAAATGAAGAATGCCAACATGGAGGGCTGGTTTCTATTGAGTCCTGTGAAGACTAGGCAAACACGTAACATTTCATGGTACTGCTAAATCAAAATGGACCAGTACGTTTAGTTTAACCAACATGTATTTTCACTGAACAAAACTATAAACGCAACATGTAAAGTGTTGGTCCCATGTTCATTGAGATGAAATTAAAAAAAATCCCAGAAATGTTCCATACGCACAGAAACCTTATTTCCTCAAATGTTGAGCACACATTTTTTTTGGATCCCTGTTAGTGAGCATTTCTCCTTTGAAAAGATAATCCACCCACCTGACAGGTGTGGCATATCAAGAAGCTGATTAAACAGCATGATCATTACACGGGTGCACCTTGTGCTGGGGACAATAAAAGGCCACTTTAAAATGTGCAGTTTTGTCACAACACAATGCCACCGATTTTTCAATTGGCATGCTGACTGCAGGAATGTCCACCAGAGCTGTTGCCAGAGAATGTAATGTTAATTTCTCTACCATAAACTGCCTCCAACTTTGTTTTAGAGAATTTGGCAGTACGTCCAACTGGCCTCACAACAGCAGACCACATGTAACCACGCCAGCCCAGGACCTCTACATCCGGCTTCTTCACCTAGTGGATCGTCTGAGGGGGGTTGTGGGGCTGCTGAGGAGTATTTATGTCTGTAATAAAGCTATTTTGTGGGGAGAAACTCATTCTGATTGGCTGGGCCTGGCTGCCAAGTGGGTGGGCCTATGCCCTCCAAGGCCCACCCATGGCTGCACCCCTGCACAGTCATGTGAAATCCATAGATTAGGACCTAATGAATTTATTTCAATTGACTGATTTCCTTATATGAACTGTAACTCAGTAAAATCTTTGTTGCATGTTGTGTTTATATTTTTGTTCAGTATAATTAGACAGTGGAGAGCCCACATGGTATGCACCATGTGGTTGTTGAACCGGTATGTGTCAGGTTAAGTGGGTATTTTCTGGTGGTAGAGCAGTGGTTATGGTTTTATGATGAGTGGTTATGTGCTGGTGGTAGGTGGGTTTGCAGACAGTCATAGGCCATGGGGTCACCTTCTCGAAACGGGAGATCTTGCTGGATTTGACAGAGGAGTCCAATATCAGAGGGGGTCCCAGGCCAAATATGTCCCTCAGCAGCGGGTTAAACTGGAGAGACAAGACCCAGGCACACCATTTATATCATAGCGACCTGGTAACTAGCCATTTCCAAAGGATAAATAAGAGGCAAGCAAGCATCAAAAACCTTACAGAAAGATTTGATCAGAACATTACTGATTGCAGAGATGGTTGATATCTAAGCTATAAAAAGACTATATCCTACCAACACAGTTATAGACTTAGATGTTTGTTCAAACCTGAAGATGGTGTCTCACTCCAGACTCCAGCACCTCTTTGAAGGCGTCGTAGACCCTCCTGCGCATCCAACTGTCGATGTAGATGCCCTCCACACCAAAGCGGATCTTCTCCTCCGGGAAGTCCTCATTCTGCACGACGTTGGGCAAGAATGTCATTAGAATCAACATTACATATTTCTCGCACCAACCGACCAATGGTCTCCAGTTACAGTGACTGGTCTGGTGTGATTTAAAAACTCTTGAGCAACATTAGAACCTTGTGCCGGTTAATGTTCAGAGTGACTTGTGGTTCTTTACCTCGATGTAGTGTAGCACCTCTCTGAATATGGTGCGCTGTTTCCTTCTGTCGTTCTTGGCACGGTGTTTGTTCCCGTCGGTGGCCAGGCCCTTTAGGCACTCACACAGCGTGTCGCTGTCTTCAAACGCAAATTCCTACATAGAAAAACACACAAGGATCAGCAGGGATATTTCCCCCACTTCCTCTCCATGGGATCTACATTGGCTCCATATTGTGTTTGAGCTGGTGAGCGAGTAAGACCACGGCCTGTATTTACAAAGTGTCTGAGAACGTCGGTGCTGATCTAGGATCAGGTCCCCCATGTCCATGTAATCATATTAATTGTGATCTAGAAGGCAAAACTGATCCTAAATCAGCACTCCTACTCTGAGATGCTTGATACATACAGCCCCTGGTTGTTCAATAGGCAAAACATACCCTGTCTATATCTCTTCCCAACTCAACCAGCAAGGCTATGGTCTCCCCAACAGCTATCCTGTAGTTCACGTCGCTGCTCTCCAGGCAGGCCTGTAGCTTAGGTAGATGTCTGAGCACAAGAGGGGACAGAGGACATGAGATGGGCAACACGGCAGGTTATAGTCACTTTTTATTAAGGGTGCCATCTTGCTCTTCTTCCTCTTAATGGCAAGATCCCGGCTGTGTCTCAAATAACACCCTATTCCCCATGTAGTGCCGTACAGTGCACTACTTTAGTCAAATATGCAGTACAGTACTACTGCACTAAATAGGGAAAGGGGGTGTCATTTGAGACACAGCCCGTCTGTCTGTCTGTCTGTCTGTGTGTCACTCACAGGTCTAGCAGCACAGTGAGGCGGGAGGCGGGGCAGAGGGTGACGAGCAGGGCCCAGGCATGCAGGGCGGCGCTGTGGAGCCCAGGGGCACCGGCGTTAGGGGTGGGCAGGATGCCCTCACGGTTGGGGTACGACATGGTGAATACACTCTCCAGGTGACTGATGGATTTCACTAAGTCCTGCCACAGGGGGAGACAGGGAAAAATAATGACAGAGAGAAAAAGCGCACGAGAGATAATTTTTGGAACTTGATTTTCCATACTACATCTCTTTCCCAGCTACAGAGAAATAGAATGAAAAGGATTTCTAGAGAATCTCACCTCTCCGTCTTCCGCAGCAGAAACGTAACAGCACATACCCAGAGCTCTGGCACACTGCAAGAGGAAGAGGGATGAACAACTTCAACTGTGACTTCCAAGAATGCACTCTTAGTGGAAAACTGCAGTCGACAACAGGAGTGTGATGAAGGCCAATGGTGACACTCACGCTCTGGCGGGCAGCCACACTGGCACAGCCGTCAATCATGATGGCGCTGAGGACAGGCCGTAGGATCTTGAAGCCCTCCTCACCCTCGTCCCCCCCGCCTAGCTGCACACACAGCTGGGCACACACTGTGGCCGCCGCAGCCTGCTCCTCTCCACCTCCTGAGAAAGGAGAATGGTGAAAAGGGACAGAAACCGAGTAGAGGGATGGAAAAGGGTAGAGGGTAAGATACCTTTTACAAGATCAACAAGAGAAGTCAGGCTATCATGGAACTTGGTCAATTAGAAGAACTGAATTCATAGAGCCTAAAATCAGACTTGACGAAGGTCCATTTTGGATGGAAATATTGTTAATTTTCCAGCCAGATAAAGGTATGGTAGAGTAAGTGTAGGTCCTGCTCATCTTTTAAAGTTTGTCAGGCCAGCACCACCTAAAGTGATGTACGTTTGACTATATTTACCACCATAATTCATAGAGCCATCGTTCCTTTCCCAACCACAACCCCCACACACAGTGCCGTGGAGTCTCACCCTTGCGCAGGCTCCTCTCCAGGCAGTCGCTGATGGTGAGGCGTCTTTCTATCAGGAAGTCATAGAGCAGCCTGGAGGAAAAGGCCCCTCTCAGAGAGTCCAGGGCTGCCAGGCGCGTCTTTGCACTGAGAGGGACAGGAGGAAGGGCCACGTCAGTATGTCTCTACACATCTCTAATGATGTAGTTATGAGAGGACAACTACACCATTGTTGAAGCTGATCTTCGTGCCTTCAGAATGTATTCACACCACTTTTTCCACATGTTGTGTTACAAAGTGGGATTCAAACTGAATTAATTGTCAACGATCTACACAAAATACTCCAGCATTTGCAAAAAAAGATAATTGAACAAATAATAAAATAAAAAACACTAATATATCTTAACTAGATAAGTATTGAACCCCCTGAGTCAATACATGTTAGAATCACCTTTTGCAGCGATTATAGCAGTGAGTCTTTCTGGGTAAGTCTCTAAGAGCTTTGCACACCTGGATTGTACAATATTTGCACATTATCTTTAAAATTCTTCAAGCTCTCTCAAGTTGGTTGTTGAGCATAGCTAGACAGCCATTTTCAAGTCTTGCCATAGATTTTCAAGCAGATTTAAGTCCAGACTGTAACTATGCCACTCAAAAACATTCATTGTTGTCCAGTGTATATTTGGCCTTGTGTCCAACAGGTTGACCAGACCGCCCGTGTTGCATGCGCTGCAAAATAAATGTGCACATACATGTTATTCAATCATTGCACCCACACTGCTCGCGCACATCTGCGTAGCCAGGCTCTAAAACAGAACTTGGTTCTATTTGTGATGCTTGACGCGCTGCAAGTCCCGCCTCTCCCATCTCCTCATTGGTTTTTAGGAGCATACAGTGAGGGAAAAAAGTATTTGATCCCCTGCTGATTTTGTACGTTTGCCCACTGACAAAGAAATGATCAGTCTATAATTTTAATGGTAGGTTTATTTGAACAGTGAGAGACAGAATAACAACAAAAAAATCCAGAAAAACGCATGTCAAAAATGTTATAAATTGATTTGCATTTTAATGAGGGGAATAATGATTTGACCCCGTCTCAATCAGAAAGATTTCTGGCTCCCAGGTGTCTTTTATACAGGTAACGAGCTGAGATTAGGAGCACACTCTTAAAGGGAGTGCTCCTAATCTCAGCTTGTTACCTGTATAAAAGACACCTGTCCACAGAAGCAATCAATCAATCAGATTCCAAACTCTCCACCATGGCCAAGACCAAAGAGCTCTCCAAGGATGTCAGGGACAAGATTATAGACCTACACAAGGCTGGAATGGGCTAAAAGACCATGGCCAAGCAGCTTGGTGAGAAGGTGACAACAGTTTGTGCGATTATTCGCAAATGGAAGAAACACAAAAAAACTGTCAGTCTCCCTCGGCCTGGGGGTCCATGCAAGATCTCACATCGTGGAGTTGCAATGATCATGAAAACAGTGAGGAATCAGCCCAGAACTACACGGGAGGATCTTGTCAATGATCTCAAGGCAGCTGGGACCATAGTCACCAAGAAAACAATTGGTAACACACTTCGCCGTGAAGAACTGAAATCCTGCAGCGCCCGCAAGGTCCCCCTGCTCAAGAAAGCACATATACAGGGCCGTCTGAAGTTTGCCAATGATCATCTGAATGATTCAGAGGAGAACTGGGTGAAAGTGTTGTAGTCAGATGAGACCAAAATCGAGCTCTTTGGCATCAACTCAACTCGCCGTGTTTGGAGGAGGAGGAATGCTGCTTATGACCCCAAGAACACCATCCCCACCGTCAAACATGGAGGTGGAAACATTATGCTTTGGGGGTATTTTTTCTGCTAAGGGGACAGGACAACTTCACCACATCAAAGGGACGATGGACGGGGCCATGAAAACCTCCTTCCTTCAGCCAGGGCATTGAAAATGGGTTGTGGAAGGGTATTCCAGCATGACAATGACCCAAAACACACGGCCAAGGCAACAAAGGAGTGGCTCAAGAAGCACATTAAGGTCCTGGAGTGGCCTGGCCAGTCTTCAGACCTTAATCCCATAGAAAATCTGTGGAGGGAGCTGAAGGTTCGAGTTGTCAAATGTCAGCCTAGAAACCTTAATGACTTGGAGAAGATCAAAAGTGTGGAACAAAATCCCTCCTGAGATGTGTGCAAACCTGGTAGCCAATTACAAGAAACGTCTGACCTCTGTGATTGCCAACAAGGGTTTTAACCACCAAGTACTAAGTCATGTTTTGCAGAAAGGTCAAATACGTATTTCCCTCATTAAAATGCAAATCAATTCATAACATTTTTGACATGTGTTTTTCTGGATTTTTTGTTGTTATTCTGTCTCTCACTGTTCAAATAAACCTACCATTAAAATTATAGACTGATCATGTCTTTGTCAGTGGGCAAACGTACAAAATCAGCAGGAGATCAAATACTTTTTTCCCTCACTGTATACCCACGTTGGTGATCGAAAGATGAGCGAAGGTCCACACTCCAGTCCAGTTGGTGGTGGTAATGCACCTTAACCTCTACGGGATTGGTGTCCCGTATGGGACGGTTGAGCTAACATGCGCTAATGTGATTAGCATGACTTTTGTAAGAAACAGCTAACTTTCCAGGACATAGACATGTCTTATATGGGCAGAAAGCTTAAATTCTTGTTAATCTAATTGCACTGTTCAATTTACAGTAGCTATTACAGTGAAAAAATACCATGCTATTGTTTGAGGAGAGTGCACAACAAAAATCGTATCACAGCAACTGGTTTGATACATTTACCTCTAAAGGTAAATAATGTACTTACATTCAGTAATCTTGCTCTGATTTGTCATCCTAAGGGTCTCAAAGATGAAATGTAGCAGTTTAGTTTGATAAAACCCATTTTTATATTCAATTGTAGGAACTAGGTTCTACTGTTTGAACCCCTGCTGTCTCTGGCTCCACACCCACCCCGCCTGGCCATCTAGATGTGTGAAAGTTAGTGTATAAGCTAATGATCCATCATGTATGACATTCCTGGGAGTGTGTAAACTTGGTGGTCAAATCAAATCAAATGTATTGGCCACATGCGCCGAATACAACAGGTGCAGACATTACAGTGAAATGCTTACTTACAGCCCTTAACCAACAGTGCATTTATTTTTTATAAAAAAGTAAAATAAAACAACAACAAAAAAAGTGTTGAGAAAAAAAGAGCAAAAGTAAAATAAAATAACAGTAGGGAGGCTATATATACAGGGGGGTACCGGTGCAGAGTCAATGTGCGGGGGCACCGGCTAGTTGAGATAGTTGAAGTAATATGTACATGTGGGTAGAGTTAAAGTGACTATGCATAAATAATTAACAGAGTAGCAGCAGCGTAAAAAGATGGGGTGGGGGGGCAGTGCAAATAGTCCGGGTAGCCATGATTAGCTGTTCAGGAGTCTTATGGCTTGGGGGTAGAAGCTGTTGAGAAGTCTTTTGGACCTAGACTTGGCACTCCGGTACCGCTTGCCGTGCGGTAGCAGAGAGAACAGTCTATGACTAGGGTGGCTGGAGTCTTTGACAATTTTGAGGGCCTTCCTCTGACACCGCCTGATATAGAGGTCCTGGATGGCAGGAAGCTTGGCCCCAGTGATGTACTGGGCCGTACGCTCTGTAGTGCCTTGCGGTCGGAGGCCAAGCAATTGCCATACCAGGCGGTGATGCAACCAGTCAGGATGCTCTCGATGGAGCAGCTGTAGAATTTTTTTAGGATCTGAGGACCCATGCCGAATCTTTTCAGTCTCCTGAGGGGGAATAGGCTTTGTCGTGCCCTCTTCACGACTGTCTTGGTGTGTTTGGACCATGATAGTTCGTTGGTGATGTGGACACCAAGGAACTTGAAGCTCTCAACCTGTTCCACTACAGCCCCGTCGATGAGAATGGGGGCGGCGTGCTCAGTCCTCTTTTTTTTTCTTGTAGTCCACAATCATCTCCTTTGTCTTGGTCACGTTGAGGGAGAGGTTGTTATCCTGGCACCACACGGCCAGGTCTCTGACCTCCTCCCTGTAGGCTGTCTCATCGTTGTCGGTGATCAGGCCTACCACTGTTGTGTCGTCGGCAAACTTAATGATGGTGTTGGAGTCGTGCCTGGCCATGCAGTCATGGGTGAACAGGGAGTACAGGAGGGGACTGAGCACGCACCCCTGAGGGGCCCCCGTGTTGAGGATCAGTGTGGCAGATGTGTTGTTACCTACCCTTACCACCTGGGGGCTGCCTGTCAGGAAGTCCAGGATCCAGTTGCAGAGGGAGGTGTTTAGTCCCAGGATCCTTAGCTTAGTGATGAGCTTTGAAGGCACTATGGTGTTGAATGCTGAGCTGTAGTCAATGAATAGCATTCTCACGTAGGTGTTCCTCTTGTCCAGGTGGGAAAGGGCAGTGTGGAGTGCAATAGAGATTGCATCATCTGTGGATCTGTTGGGGCGGTATGCAAATTGGAGTGGGTCTAGGGTTTCTGGGATAATGGTGTTGATGTGAGCCATGACCAGCCTTTCAAAGCACTTCATGGCTACAGACGTCAGTGCTACGGGTCGGTAGTCATTTAGGCAGGTTATCTTAGTGTCCTTGGGCACGGGGATTATGGTGGTCTGCTTGAAACATGTTGGTATTACAGACTCAGTCAGGGACATGTTGAAAATGTCAGTGAAGACACTTGCCAGTTGGTCAGCACATGCTCGGAGTACACATCCTGGTAATCCGTCTGGCCCTGCGGCCTTGTGAATGTTGACCTGCTTAAAAGTCTTACTCACATCGGCTACGGAGAGCGTGATCACATAGTCATCCGGAACAGCTGGTGCTCTCATGCATGCTTCAGTGTTGCTTGCCTCGAAGCGAGCATAGAAGTGGTTTAGCTCGTCTGGTAGGCTTGTGTAACTGGGAAGCTCGCGGCTGTGCTTCCCTTTGTAGTCTGTAATAGTTTTCAAGCCCTGCCACATCCGACGAGCGTCAGAGCCGGTGTAGTACGATTCAATCTTAGTCATGTATTGACTCTTTGCCTGTTTGATGGTTCGTCGGAGGGCATAGCGGGATTTCTTATAAGCGTCCGGGTTAGAGTCCCGCTCCTTGAAAGCGGCAGCTCTACCCTTTAGCTCAGTGCGGATGTTTCCTGTAATCCATGGCTTCTGGTTGGGGTATGTACGTACGGTCACTGTGGGGACGACATCATCGATGCACTTATTGATGAAGCCAGTGACTGATGTGGTGTACTCTTCAATGCTATCTGAAGAATCCCGGAACATGTTCCAGTCTGTGCTAGCAAAACAGTCCTGTAGCTTAGCATCTGCGTCATCTGACCACTTTTTTATTAACCGAGTCACTGGTGCTTCCTGCTTTAGTTTTTGCTTATAAGCAGGAATCAGGAGGATAGAGTTATGGTCAGATTTGCCAAATGGTTATACATAATGTATGTTCTCTATAGTTATGTACTTGAAAATGTATCAATATACCAATTCGGCACATTTGGCCAGACTTGATACAAAATAGTCCAGTATTGCAATGCTTCACTGGATAAATCTGAAACTTTGCACACACACTGCTGCCATCTAGTGGACAGAATCTAAATTGCACCTAAACTGCAATATTATATTGTGGCCTTTCTCTTGCATTTCAAAGATGAAAAAATAAATAATAATAACAATACGCATGTTTTTTGTTTGTATTATCTTTTACCAGATCTAATGTGTTATCTTCTCCTACATTCATTTCACATTTCCACAAACTTCAGTGTTCCCTTTCAAATTGTATCAAGAATATGAATATCCTTGCTTCAGGTCCTGAGCTACAGGCAGTTATATTTGGGTATGTCATTTTAGGCGAAAATTGAAAAAAAGGGTCCGATCCTTAAAAGGTTATAGTTGGATGCCAACCGCCATATAAAGTCCAAAGAAGAAGAAGAAGCCTGAAGGAGGAGAGAACTAGAAACTCACTCAGTTTACCCTTTTATCTGTGGATTAATTGTCGGCGTAGAGGACCTTGTGCATTTCAGGTAAAATAACAACCCAATGTTTATATCCCATGACAAATTAGCTAGCAACAGCAAGCTAGCTAGCTAAATTGTCATACATGTTTAATGGTTTTCGACCTGTCCCAAAGTTAATATAGTTGGTTCAGAGTTCGTTTTGACATTCCAACCTGCGTGTCCTGATCGCGTCTGGTGTGGGTGGACAAAATCAACATGCACGCGATGGTGCGCATGCGGTCTGGTCAGCATGTTAGGTTATTGGTCCTGCGGAAAGGTGAATTTGTCTCCCGGTGTCTGTTGGAAAGCAACAGACTGAACCAGGTTTTCCTCTAGGATTTTGCCTGTGCTTAGCTCCATTCCGTTTCTTTTTATGCTAAAACCTCCCTAGTCCTTGCCGATGACGAGTATACCCATAACATCATGCAGCCACCACCATGCTGGTACTCAGTGATGTGCTGTGTTTGCCCAAACATAATATGTTCAGGACAAAGTCAATTTCTTCGCCACATTTTTTGCAGTTTTACTTTAGTGTCCTTATTGCAAACAGGATGCATGTTTTGGAATATTTGTATTCTGTACAGGCTTCCTTCTTTTCACTCTTTCATTTAGGTTAGTATTGTGGAGTAATTACAATGTTGTTGATCATCCTCAGTTTTTTCCTATAAACAGCCATTATACTCCGTAACTGTTTTAAAGTCACCATTGATTGGCCTCATGGTGAAATCCCTGAGCAGTTTTCTTCCTCTCTGGCAACTGAGTTAGGAAGGCCGCCTGTATCTTTGTAGTGATTGGCTGTATTGATACACCATCCAAAGTGTAATTAATAACTCCACCATGCTTAAAGGAATGTTCAATGTCTGTTTTTTTGGGTTTTTTTTACTCATCTACCAACAGGTGCCCTTCTTTGTGAGGCATTGAAAACCTCCCTGGTCTTTGTGTTTGATTCTATGTTTGAGGGACCTTACAGATAATTGTATGTGTGGGGTACAGAGATGAGGTAGTCATTCAAACATCTATCATTGCACACAGTGAGTCCATGCAAATTATTATGTGACTTGTTAGGCACATTTTTACTCCTGAACTTTTAGGCTTGCCATAACAAAGGGGTTGAATACTTATTGACTCAAGACATTTAATTTAATTAATTTGTAAACATAATTCCACTATTACATTATGGGATATTATTGTGTGTAGGCCAGTGACAAACAATCTCAATTAAATTAATTTTAAATAATTGCTTTAACAAAATGTGGAAAAAGTTGAGGGGTGTGAATACTTTCTGAAGGCACTACATGTTCCTAATGTCCACGTACCCAAGTACTAGCAACTTTGGTGGTTGTAGTTTTTTGTGCTGTTAGAATGTGTACAGTGAGTCCTTCTGTAAAAACATTTTAAATCCTGTGAAACCCACCTCTTGTCCATCAGGTTATCTATGCATTGTTTCAGCTTGTCTTCTGTCTCCTCCTGGGCAGTCTGTTCATCTACTGGTTCACCACCTCCTCCTGTGCTGGACAAGACACACAAGTCAATGATGCCAACTGCATGGTGTGACTTTCCTGTGTGTGTGTGTGTGTGTGTGTGCGTGTACAGTTGAAGTCTGAAGATTACATATACCTTAGCCAAATACGTTTAAACTGTTTTTCAAAATTCCTGAAATGTAATCCTAGTAAAAATTCCCTGTCTTAGGTCAGTTAGGATCACCACTTTATTTTAAGAATGTGAAATGTCAGAATAATAGTAGAGAGAATGATTTATTTCAGATTTCATTTCTTTCATCACATTCCCAGTGGGTCAGAAGTTTACATTCAATCAATTAGTATTTGGTAGCATTGCCTTTAAATTGTTTAACTTGGGTCAAACGTTTTGGGTAGCCTTCCACAAGCTTCCCACAATAAGTTGGGTGAATTTTGGCCCATTCCTCCTGACAGAGCTGGTGTAACTGAGTCAGGTTTGTAGGCCTCCTTGCTCGCACACGCTTTTTCAGTTCTGACCACACATTTTCTATAGGATTGAGGTCAGGGCTTTGTGATGGCCACTCCAATACCTAGACTTTGTTGTCCTTAAGCCATTTTGCCACAACTTTGGAAGTATGCTTGGGGTCATTGTCCATTTGGAAGACTCATTTGTGACCAAGCTTTAACTTCCTGACTGATGTCTTGAGATGTTGCTTCAATATAGCCACATAATTTTCCTTCCTCATGATGCCATCTATTTTGTTAAGTGCACCAGTCCCTCCTGCAGCAAAGCACCCCCACATCATGATGCTGCCACCCCCGTGCTTCATGGTTGGGATGGTGTTCTTCGGCTTGCAAGCAGCCCCCTTTTTCCTCCAAACATAACGATGGTCATTATGGCAAACAGTTCTATTTTTGTTTCTTCAGAACAGAGGACATTTCTCCAAAAAGTACTATCTTTGTCCCCATGTGCAGTTGCAAACCGTAGTCTGGTTTTTTTATGCCGGTTTTGGAGCAGTGGCTTCTTCTTTGCTGAGCGGCCTTTCAGGTTATGTCGATATAGGACTTGTTTTACTGTGGATATAGATACTTTTGTACCTGTTTCCTCCAGCATCTTCACAAGGTCCTTTGCTGTTGTTCTGGGATTGATTTGCACTTTTCGCACCAAAGTACGTTCATCTCTAGGAGACAGAATGCGTCTCCTTCCTGAGCAGTATGACGGCTGCGTGGTCCCATGGTGTTTATACATGCGTACTATTGTTTGTACAGATGAACGTGGTACCTTCAGGCGTTTGGAAATTTCTCCCAAGGATGAACCAGACTTGTGGAGGTCTACAATTTTTTTTCTGAGGTCTTGGCAGATTTCTTTTGATTTTCCCATGATGTCAAGCAAAGAGGCACTGAGTTTGAAGGTAGGCCTTTAAATACATCCACAGGTACACCTCCAATTGACTCAAATTATGTAAATTAGCCTATCAGAAGCTTCTAAAGTCATTTTCTGGAATTTTCCAAGCTGTTTAAAGGCACAGTCAACTTAGTGTATGTAAACTTCTGACCAACTGGAACTGTGATACAGTGAATTATTGTTGGAAAAATTACTTGTGTCATGCACAAAGTAGATGTCCTAACCGACTTGCCAAAACTATAGTTTGTTAACAAGAAATGTGTGAAGTGGTTGAAAAACGAGTTTTAATGACTCCAACCTAAGTGTATGTAAACTTCCGACTTCAACTGTATGTATGTGCGTGCACCCACCTGTGCCCTCGTCCAACACGGAGGCGCTCTCGCTGGCACTGCTGTAGTGACTGAGCACATCAGACGCCAGGTCATCATCACTGGCAGCTGACTCACCCTTCACCCCATTCCTCCCCCCTACGAGAATGAGAGAAAGAATTGAGGAGAGAAAGAAGGAGGAGAGGAAGTGAGAGCAGGAAAGAGGGACCGGAAGGGGGGCAGGGGAGGAGGAGAAGAAGAGTGAGCTAGAAGTTAACTTTTTCTCTGTCAGTGGCTCAGCTGTTGGTGTCGTCATGATACCCCAGGAACCTCTCCTTATAGAGAGCAGGGTCTATTCTCTCCACAGTGCTGACACGTGCACATCACACGTAGCTAAACTGGGAACGCTAGTCGCGTGCGCTCGCTGCCCACAGGGTAATCCTTCAGACACAGCCGAGCCCACTGACCATCTGGCTGGAGTGTTCACGGACATATTCAATCTCTCGCTCTCCCAGTCTGTTGTCCCCACTTGCTTCAAGATGTCCACCATTGTTCTTGTACCAAAGAAAGTGAAGGTAACTGAACTAAATGACTATCGCCTCGTAGCACTCACTTGTCACCATAAAGTGCTTTGAGAGGCGAGTTAAGGACCATATCACCTTCACCTTACACCCTAGACCAGCGGTTCATAAACTTTATCAGCTCGGTACCCAAATGAAAAGTTGACCATCCTCCCGAGACCCAAATCATCCTTCATAAGCCCAAATTAAGACGAAATATTGTGTGATTATAGATGTATTCTCATAACTCGTGACCCACCTCTAACATGCCCAGGGCTCACTTTGGTTCCCGAACCATAGTTTAAGAAATCACGCCCTAGACCGACTTAATTTGCATATCGCCCCAACAGATCCACAGACTACGCAATCGCCATTGCAGTGTACACTGCCCTATTCCACTTGGACAAGAGAAATTCCTATGTAAGAATGCTCTTCATTGACTACAGCTCAGTCTTCAACACCATAGTGCCCTCCAAGCTCATCACTAAGCTCAGGGCCCTGGGTCCTGGACTTCCTGTCGGGACAACCCCAAGTGGTGAAGATAGACAACAACATCCTCCGCCACGCTGAACCTCAACACGGGGGCCCCACAGGGGTGCGTGCTCAGCCCCCTCCTGTACTCCCTGTTCACCCATGACTGCGTGGCCACGCGTGTCTCAAACGCAATCGTCAATTTTGCTGACGACAACAGTGGTAGGCCTGATTACCAACAATGATGAGACAGCCTACAGGGAGGAGGTGAGAGCCCTGGCGGAGTGGTGCCAGGAAAATAACCTGCGATAAAATCTGCAAATCTGTGTACACAAACAATCAACTTTTATCTGATTTGACTGGCACTGCCAGTAGCACAGCTACCTGACTGTGGCCCTAACCTGACAGGTGGCAGAGACACCATAGTCTCGATTACATTATTAGCATTTTACTGGTTCTGCACTGACAACTATTGGGCAAATTTATTGCATTAATTGAAAGTGAGGGATGGCTCTATAGGTCAAGCTCTTACAAGTCTCTCAACTTGTAAATGTGCTTCAATTAAATCCACAGCATTTCTGGTAAATGGGATAACATTTGACATGTATTTTTCTATCTTGATTTGACAGTTTGTCTTCCATGGAGGGCTTTACGGATATCAATGAGATCCATGACCTCACTGGCACTGATACAGGTATGACCTTTCCTCTTCATACAGTACTGTTCCCTGTAGACGCCATAGCTTCCATGTTCCACAGTGAGGTTGTAACCTCTGGGTCACACTGACACGACCTGCCTGACCCGCACATCACACACAATGACCGGCCGCCTCTCCTCACAGACCATGTGACTGGCCCACGGTAATCCTGACAACATTAGAAAGCCCTGAGCCAGCATGGGAGCCTAACCCAGTCCTGGCCAGGATGACCCAGCCCCAGCTCAACCCCCCCCCACTCCTACCTAAATCTCTGTCCCACTAACCCAGCCAGTCATCTGGCCTGCCCTGCCCCAGCAGAGAGCTTTACTGGGGGAAAGTTCACCGGGCTGACAGACCTGGAGGGAGGGAATCCAGTGATACAATCCCCTTCCTGTTCAATGGCTCTAGGGCTAGGGGAAGCCTTTAAAATTACAGGTCTGAGAAAAACCGTCACTAAAAACACAGGAAGAACTTTGAGGCATGAGCTGACGACAACAGTACTGTAGTGTCCTCAGGCTTATATAATAGTATGACCACCTTTACTATGAAGTCCACAGATAAACAATGGGTTCCAGGAAACATGTCCATTAATTTAGTTTATATTCTACAATGACTGCCATTGATCAAATTCAATAAGTGTTGCTCTCATTCATTCCCATTCTCTCCTCTGTTCTTAGTGATCATACAGTACCTGAGTGGGCCCTTATCAGTCACGTGACTTACTGGTGAGCAACCTTGACCCCCAGGCAGTGTGTGCCTGTGTTCCAAACCACCATACACGTGTCAGCCTATAGTAATCACTCAACGTTTCCACAACTATCTGCAGTGCACCTCAGTCATGCCAAGGGGAGGCGCTTGAGAGTGGCAGGGCTATTCTTCCCTTGATATGTCCAGTGAGAGGAAAGGGCGGGACCTCATTGTCGTCACCGCGTCCCCCTTACTGGGGACCATACAGTCTCGCACATACCAGCATGGGCTTCCTGTGCCCGCATATAAACTTAGTCTTCGCCAATTGGGTCTTTAACGCAGCATTTCATAAGCAACTTCCCGGCTGCTCAAGGTTAAAAAACTAAGTCAGATTCTGGCACATCACAACAGGACTGGAATTACAAACAGATTTCTCTGAAGAAAGAACCTGAAGCATAGAGCATCAATACAAAACACAACACAGGGTGTATGCGATAGGAAAGCTGACGAATGGTAATGCTATGGTTTTGAGAGAGTGCCATGCAGCATTCTGAATAAAGCCTCTATGAGAAGAGTGAGGTCAGTGAGTTGGCTAACATGACATCACAATCAGGGGAGGGGTGGGGTGCAAAGGGGAGGGTGGAGCTGGGAGTATCCATCTGGTGATACAGCGTTAGCAGGACAGAGGGGGCGACAATGCTGGGAATCCTGGGACATGGGACCAGCCGAGGTGATGTGAGGCAGGGAAAAACATATGGCAGTGAACTCCCAGAAGACATGGTTTGGAATGGTTGAAAGTAGCTACTACACCTGTAACGTCATTGGCATGACCCATGCAAGACCATATTAATTGTGACAATGACCATCTAATGGTAAAGAGGAGTTAATAGGGTGGGGAAGTATTGGGATGTGATGGTCAAACAGGAATAGTTGACAGATGGCCATAGGCAGAAAATGGGTCCAGGTGACAAATGAGTAATAAGGTTTGAAGCAGGCCAGGGTTTGGAGCTCTGCTGCGTTACCTTTAAGAGACAGGGGGCCCTTGGACGACAGCTGCAACTGTAGAACCTCCTGTCGGAGACAGCCTGTAAAGGGGTTCAGGTGGAGAAGGGAGGGATGGTTGGATAGCAGGTTGGCCATGGATGGAGGAAGAGACTATTGGACAGACACTAAACCTCTACTTCCTCATGTTGCTTTCAGAAATGCATCTCTTGCTTTCCCCAGAGAGTCTTCTCTGTAAACCTGTTGGGACCTTTTCTACAGTTTGATCATTCTCATAAATTGAACATCAATAAAATGAATTCTGCCATCTTTAGTATTGTCATATGGAGAGCTCTGTGTGTAAGTGTAATATCTACTATAATGAGATTAGTCAGTGGTTGCGATAAACCTGGATTTTACTTGGAGATAGCTAGCTAGCTAATGCATTCTAGTTGAGCAGAAGTTCATTATGATCTGTAATTTGGAGGTTTCTACCACTACTGACATTTGGCCACCTGTACATCTGGCAAAACTGAGTTTCAGCATTCAGCAGTCTGACACAGGGAAGAGCTCAATGGCATACTCCTCTTCTCATCATATCCTTTTCAAGATCCATTGGATGAGAAAGCCAGGAGGTCCCGCACCTCTGATCTTCTCCTCCAATGGGTTTTGAGAAGGAGACGAGGAGAAAGGAGGTGGGGAGTATGCAATTGAAATCTCTGCACAGTCCACAGGAGACGTGTTGCGTCTGCACGTGATGTGCACTACCCACATCAAACCACAATTGACGGGGGCGGCGAGTAGAACGCCCTACTAGGTACATAGCTACAAGCTCTGACAAACCTACGGTTGGCACTAAATATGTATAACGAAAAGCACACACAGTCCTCAAAAGAATTGTAGCGATATGTCCCTCATTCCGATCTAAACGTGTGAAATCTGACAGCACAGCCGGTCAAAGGCCCAGGCTCGTGTCGTGTTGGCCCATCACAGGCAAATGACTGACACGAGCCCTGCTAAAAAGAATCTCAGGGACAAGCGTTTTACCATTCATTCGTGTCTAGCTTTAGAGCAGACGTTATGTTACACTATGTTGTAATGTCACTTTGAACGATCAAGTGGTAAATTATACAAACCCAAGTTATTTAAGGCAACCTTGCTAGCAAATGTACTGGGCAAGATTAACAAATTGGCTAGTTAGGAAGTGCAAACATAAAACATTGCATAGCATACAAATATGTCTTATAGCAGTTATGTGTTAGTTTCAAACAAATTGCCATTCTATAAGAAAGTAGCTAGTAACTTTGTTCCATATGTAGATCAGTTCTGGCAGTTGCACAACACTTAGCTAGCTATGTCATCTTAGATTGTGCTGTAGATAAGATATATTAGCCCTTCTGCTACACATGATCGATCATGTGTTAGTAAAAAAGTTAGCAGTTAGCTTACCCTTGTTTGGACCACGTTTCCCTTTTTTAATCCTTGGCATGTCGCCAGTCAGTTTTCTTCTCCACTTGTCAGCAGGGCACCCCCGGTGTCAGTCTCTTGAACACAACCCCAGAGGATACGATGTATTCAAGTTCTTAGTTTGTGCGATGACACCAGATTTCCAAAACAAATATAGACAAAACTTGGCTAGCCAAGCTAACAAGACCCCCCCCCACGTCGTGTTTTCAGTGGCACCACCGCAGATAATATCGTGGAGTTGGCTTTACAACTCGATGAATGTCGTTTTCGTCAATATTTCAGAATATATTATCTGTGATTGTCTCCGGGTAAACGATATCTAATGCCAGGTTGAGATATAAAATATTTTTCAAAGTGTTTGGGATGGAGTATCGAGCACGTTGCTGTTCCAAATTCCACCATCTTCTCCTCGGTAACCGCTTTCAGACCGGACAAGCTCCACCTCTTTTTAGATATTGTAGGCGAAACTGGGTATTGTAGTCATATGATGATTCTCATTCAAGTACCCAAAGCATGAATTCATCTTCGATTAAACTACAGTACCCACAATACCAGAAATCTAATCAAGCTTTTGGGGTTTTGTTTGGGTTGTCTTCTCTGAGGAGTTGTGTAGTGAGGAATGGAAATTACACTAGCAGTTTGAAACGAATTTCTTGGTTTATTTTGTGCCTTTTATCGTGTTTAATCATTTATATACTAATGTATAAACAACACAATCTCAATTAAAAGGACAAAACACAGTGCATTAATCAATCTCCATTGATTAATGCATGCATAAAAAGTGAATATAGTCCAAACAAATATGGTAATTGTATTCCCAGTTAATGAGCGAATTTTGGCAAATGGGATTAATGAAAGATCATGTTTAACTTGGATCTAGTGGAGTCATATGACATGAAAATAGTGACCTCCAAAAATGCAAAGCAATTTCTACAAAGTTAGGGCATTCCACAACAAAGGCAAAGGTGTAATATATTGTGAATTACAACCTATATTACAAGGAAAATATAAGGGTGCTAGATACAAAAACTATATAATTACCTAGTTATACAACTTAAGGCATTCACATGTGAATCTCAAAACATTGAGACAATAGTTCAGTAGTACAGGGGATATGCAAGACCACAAACACCTCTAAGTTACATTCCAATAGTTCCACTTCTAGTTTCTAAAGTTTTCTTGTAAGAAAGGTACTGATTTTTGGCCACACGTTACTGCATATCATCAGTGAGTTAGTGGTTAAAAAAAATAGGTGAAAAAAGTAAAGGTCTCTATACTTTCAATTAATTTTTCCGTAAAAGGTGCGTAATTTGTTGAAGAAAAAAAAAAGAGGATGAACTGTGTTTACTTGCGTTTACCTGCCACTACATACCATGTATTGTATTGTTTAGTTTTAGTTTGTTGGGAATGTGACAACTAGGATCATTGTAGAAGCCTAATGACAAAATATCACAATTTGGAATCATATGGAGAGTTTGGTCCTGCTGATATATAGTATTTCAGTTAGCAATTGGTAAACATTTATGTAACACACGTCATTGTGTCACTAAGCCTGCAAAATGCACGTTTAGATTCAACATCTAATTAGTATTAGAAAGGAAAAAACACATTTTTCACACTAGTCCTCTACATGTGACATCCTGCTTTGTCTCTTGGTTTACATAGCATGTTATGCTGCTTTTGTGAGTCAGTGATTTCCCTGTCCTTCAAACCGTATGGCTCATTCACACAACTCACTGTGGTCTAAAGACCATGAACAAGCTTCAGATAACAGGAGTGAAAAGCCTCATCGTCAAGGGTGTAGCTGTATTTATAGTTGTGTTGAGTTGTGGGTGCAGGCAAGGCCACACACACTCATAACCCATTCTCTATTGCTAAAGAAGCCTTGCAGTCCTTCAGGTTTGAGTGTCACTGATCGAGGTAAACACAAGGGGCAAGCATTGCTCTGATAGACTGATAGACTGATCTCTGGTGGTCAGTGGGAGAAGGTCTGTCTGTTCAGGTCACTGTCCACTGGCAAAGCAGGCTGATCTCATAAGCTGGGTGTCCATTGAGAGACAGATCTACTGGCCAGAGTAGTAGTTTGTAGGCACGAAGGGCATCTTGGTGACCACTGCCTTCACTGCCTTCTTCCTCACCTCCACCTGAATGGGAGTTCCATTCTTGGCATACGGCGCATCCACGTAACCCATGGCAACGTTCTGCTTCAGGCAGGGGGAGGGGCAACCACTGGTGACCTCACCTGATGAAAAAAACAGGATGAAAAAAAGTTGAATTTAATCTCAAAAGCAAATCCACACACAACTGCATTTCAATGGAACAGTGTCACAGTTGGGCCTAAATAACACTACAGTGTAGGCCTACTGAAAGATAAACAATAACCAAAAATCATCAGAGGTGGTATCCTGATCCTAAGTAGGTATAATACATTTGTTATGTTATGATTAGGATGGTTTTAGACCATCAATAGCCTGAGACGGCACTTGTGAAGGTGTAAATGAACTTTTAATGGCGTCAACCGAGTCCTGCATCTGTCCTCGTGCTACTAGACCTTAGTGCTGCCTTTGACACCACGATCAAACATCTTTTGGAGAGACTGGAACACCCACAAATTGGTCTACACTGGACAAGTTCTGGCCAGGGTTTAGAATCCTACCTGTCGGAAAGATATCAGTTTGTCCTCTGTGAATGGTCTGTCCTCCGACAAATCAACTGTACATTTCGGTGTTCCTCAAGGTTCCGTTTTAGGACCACTATTGTTTTCACTATATATTTTACCTCTTGGGGATGTTATTCGAAAACATAATGTTAACTTTCACTGCTATGCGGATGACACACAGCTGTACATTTCAATGAAACATGGTGAAGCCCCAAAATTGCCCTCGCTAGAAGCCTGTGTTTCAGACATAAGGAAGTGGATGGCTGAAAACTTTTTACTTTTAAACTCGGACAAAACAGAGATGCTTGTTCTAGGTCCCAAGAAACAAAGAGATCTTCTGTTAAATCTGACAATTCATCTTGATGGTTGTAAAGTCGTCTCAAATAAAACTGTGAAGGACCTCGGCGTTACTCTTGACCCTGATCTCTCTTTTGACGAACATATCAAGACTGTTTCAAGGACAGCTTTTTTCCATCTACGTAACATTGCAAAAATCAGAAATTTTCTGTCCAAAAATGATGCAGAAAAATTAATCCATGCATTTGTTACTTCTAGGTTAGACTACTGCAATGCTCTATTTTCCGGCTACCCGGATAAAGCACTAAATAAACTTCAGTTAGTGCTAAATACGGCTGCTAGAATCCTGACTAGAACCAAGAAATTTGATCATATTACTCCAGTGCTAGCTTCCCTACACTGGCTTCCTGTTAAGGCAAGGGCTGATTTCAAGGTTTTACTGTTAACCTATAAAGCGTTACATGGGCTTGCTCCTACCTATCTTTCCGAGTTGGTCCTGCCGTACATACCAATACGTACGCTACGGTCACAAGACGCAGGCCTCCTAATTGTCCCTAGAATTTCTAAGCAAACAGCGGGAGGCAGGGCTTTCTCCTATAGATCTCCATTTTTATGGAACAGTCTGCCTACCCATGTGAGAGACGCAGACTCGGTCTCAACCTTTAAGTCTTTACTGAAGACTTATCTCTTCAGTAGGTCATATGATTGAGTGTAGTCTGGCCCAGGAGTGTGAAGGTGAACGGAAAGGCTGGAGCAACGAACAACCCTTGCTGTCTCTGCCAGGCCGGTTCCCCTCTCCACTGGGGTTCTCTGCCTCTAACCCTGTTGCAGGGGCTGAGTCACTGGCTTGCTGGTGCTCTTTCATGCCGTCCCTGGGAGGGGTGCGTCACTTGAGTGGGTTGAGTTACTGACGTGATCTTCCTGTCTGGGTTGGCGCCCCCCCCTTGGTTTGTGCTGTGGTGGAGACCTCTGTGGGCTATACTCGGCCTTGTCTCAGGATTGTAAGTTGGTGGTTGGGGATATCCCTCTAGTGGTGCGGGGGCTGTGCTTTGGCGGAGTGGGTGGGGTTATATCCTTCCTGTTTGGCCCTGTCCGGGGGTTTCTTCGGATGGGGCCACAGTGTCTCCAGACCGCTCCTGTCTCAGCCTCCAGTATTTATGCTGCAGTAGTTTATGTGTCGGGGGGCTGGGGTTAGTTGGTTATACCTGGAGTACTTCTCCTGTCTTATCCAGTGTCCTGTGTGAATTTAAGTATGCTCTCTCTAATTCTCTCGTTCTCTCTTTCTCTCTGAGAACCTGAGCCCTAGGACCATACGTCAGGACTACCGGGCATGATGACACCTTGCTGTCCCCAGTCCGCCTGGCCTTGCTGCTATTCCAGTTTCAACTGTTCTGCCTGCGGCTACGAAACCCCTACCTGTCCCAGACCTGCTGTTTTCAACTCTTAATGATCGGCTATGAAAAGCCAACTGAGAGACCTGAGCCCTAGGACCATACGTCGGGACTACCGGCCGTGGTGACTCCTTGCTGTCCCCAGTCCGCCTGGCCTTGCTGCTATTCCAGTTTCAACTGTTCTGCCTGCGGTTATGGAACCCCTACCTGTCCCAGACCTGCTGTTTTCAACTCTTAATGATCGGCTATGAAAAGCCAACTGAGATTTATTCCTGATTATTATTTGACCATGCTTGTCACTTATGAACATTTTTGAACATCTTGGCATGGTTCTGTTAAATCTCCACCCGGCCGCCAGAAGAGACTGCCACCCTCATAGCTGGTTCTCTCTAGGTTTCTTCTGGTTTCGCCTTCTAGGAGTTTTCCTATCCACCGTGCTTCCTACACCTGCATTACTAGCTGTTTGGGTTTTAGGCTGGGTTTTCTGTACATCACTTCGAGATATTAGCTGATGTAAGAAGGGCTATATAAAATAAAATTTGATTGATTGATTGATGGTTCTTGTATCTTGTAATAGCTAGTAGAGATGCTCTAACTGACCTATGACCTTTCCCTCTGGGCTGAGGATGGGGGTGTGCTGTCTGACAGGGGGTCCCGTGGACACCAGGCCCACACGCTTCCTCGCCGTCTTCGCCTTTATCTGGGGGACAATGATCTCCGCACCGGGGAAATCCTTCGCCTGACGCCGCCGCTTTCCTGCAAGTCCATCAAACAACCCAATTAACACAAACAGAGACACAAACACAGACATACAATACCAGTCAAAAGTTTGGACACACCTACTCATTCAAGGGTTTTTCTTTATTTTTACATTGTAGAATAATAATGAAGACATCAAAACTATTAAATAACACATATGGAATCATGTAGTAACCAAAGGAGTGTTAAACAAATCAAAATATATTTTATATTAGAGATTCTTCAAATAACCACCCTTTGCCTTGATGACAGCTTTGCACACTCTTGGCATTCTCTCAACCTGGAATGCATTTCAATTAACAGGTGTGCCTTCTTAAAAGTTAATTTGTGGAATTTCTTTCCTTCTTAATGCGTTTGAGCCAATCAGTTGTGTTGTGACAAGGTAGGGGGGTATACAGAAGATAGCCCTATTTGGTAAAAGACCAAGTCCATATTATGGCAAGAACAGCTCAAATAAGCAAAGAGAAACGACAGTCCATCATTACTTTAAGACATGAAGGTCAGTCAATATGGAACATTTCAAGAACTTCAAGTGCAGTTGCAAAAACCGCTATGATGAAACTGGCTCTCATGAGGACCACCACATGAATGGAAGACCCAGAGTTACCTCTGCTGCAGAGGATAAGTTCATTAGAGTTACCAGCCTCAGAAATTGCAGCCCAAATAAATGCTTCACAGAGTTCAAGTCACAGACACATCTCAACATCAACTATTCAGAGGGGACTGTGTGAATCAGGCCTTCATGGTCGAATCGCTGCAAAGAAACCACTACTAAAGGACACCAATAAGAAGTAGAGACCTGCTTGGGCCAAGAAACACGAGCAATGGACATTAGACCGGTGGAAATGTGTCTTTTGGTCTGGAGTCCAAATTGGAGATTTTTGGTTCCAAACGCTGTGTCTTTGTGAGATGCGGTATGGGTGAACGGATGATCTCTGCATGTGTAGTTCCCACCGTAAAGCATGGAGGTGGAGGTGTTATGGTGTGGGGGTGCTTTGCTGGTGACACTGTCTGTGATTTCTTTAGAATTCAAGGCACACTTAACCCTCCCGTTGTCCTGGGGTCAAAATGATCCCTGGAGAATTACTGTGGTGTGTTTTAGTGTTAGTTTATTTTGTAATGTATGAAAAGTGACAGACTTTGCTTTGTCGACATTCCTGACCATGTAAGGAGGCTGTGGGGAAACCAAAATATACTAATACTGCGGTAGGTAGAGGTCCAGAGCCATCCTCCCCCCTCCCCCGGTCCGCCAAAGAAGACAGGCTGCATTGACCGGCAAGCCAAGGCGCCCGAAGCGATGAGTGTCCGTTTGTTCACCGCCGAACAGGTCCTACAGCAGATATGTTCATCAAATGTGGAGCAAGAAGAAGACTACTGCGATTCCGGCGAGGAGGAGAAAGCATAAGACGTGTCAGAAGAGGAAGACTGCAAGGAATACAACCCTGAGCACAATGACGCGTCGTCCTCGTGTTCAGAGGAAGAGCGAGAGGAGGAAACGGGCGAAGGCGAAGGAGCGACATCAAATGGCCAAATCAAATGGTCCTCGGTGGCATATGAGAGACCGGGCAGGTTGGCAGAGAACGAGACGACGGTGGCGACCCCCAACCCCGGCGGACCTACACCGTACGCAGTTGGGCAGGGCTGCGACATTGCGTCAACGTTCCACCAGTTCATCACACGAGCAATAGATGAAATAGTCATGGACATGACAAATCTGGAGGGGGTTCGAAAATACGGAGACGACTGGAAAGGGATGGACGAGACCGACCTGCTTGCCTACATAGGGCTGCTGATCTTAGCCGGCGTGTACAGGTCACGCGGCGAGGCGGCGGCTAGTCTGTGGGACGCGGAGAGCGGAAGGGCGATATTCCGTGCCACCATGCCGCTCAAAGTGTTTCACACGTTCTCGAGACTGCTACGGTTCGACGACCGCCAGTCGAGACCCGCGAGACGTGCGACTGACAAACTGGCAGCCATAAGAGAGGTGTGGGACAAGTGGTCTCTACAACCCAGGGCCTGAGGTGACAGTGGACGAGCAACTGGTTTCATTCAGAGGTAGTGTATACGTAATAAAAGTATTCTGTTTGTTTCTTTTCCCCCACACACCACTGTTCACTGACCATCACCTCTGTGCCTGTGTTCTGTGACACACCGACACTCGTAATAATAGTAGCACTTGGCGACGACGATTGCTAACAATCTCTTCTGTCCCATTCCCCCCTCCCAAAGGCTGTTGTCCTTTCCGGCAGTATATGCCAAGCAAGCCGGCGAAATACGGGATCAAGTCATGGGTGGCCTGCGACGCAAAATCCAGCTACGCCTGGAAGATGCAAGTCTACACCGGCAATACCACCGGCGGAGGCCCAGAGAAGAAGCAGGGGCTGCGGGTCGTGCTTGACGTGACCGAGGGACTTAGGGGCCGCAATGTGACATGCGACAATTTCTTCACCTCTTATGAACTCGGACAGCAGCTCCTCCAGAGGAACATCACCATGGTTGGCACGGTTCGAAAGAACAAACCTGAGCTCCCACCTGCACTGCTGGCGTCAAAGGGACGAGAGGTGTTCTCGTCCAAGTTCGCCTTCAGGCCCACCATCACTCTGGTGTCCTACCTGCCAAAGAAAAACAAGAATGTGGCACTTCTGAGCACACTGCAGAGTAAGAGGTGTCAGATCTGCCCACCCAAGAAGGACTCCAAAACACACATGGTGTGCTGCAGGTGTAACAAATATATCTGCAAAGCCTGTGCACATGCATACTGTCCCACATGTGCTAATTGGGGCTTCATTGAAGGCGGGACAGTTCGAACCGGAGGACACGGGGTGTGTACAGAATATGAGGACAACGGGAGGGTTAACCAGCATGGCTACCACAGCATTCTGCAGCGATACGCCATCCCATCTGATTTGGGCTTAGTGGGACTATCATTTTCAACAGGACAATGACCCAACACACCTCCAGGCTGTGTAAGGGCTATTTTACCAAGAAGGAGAGTGATGGAGTGCTGCATCAGATGACCTGGCCTCCACAATCCCCCGACCTCAACCCAATTGAGATGGTTTGGGATGAGTCGGACAGTGAAGGAAAAGCTGCCAACAAGTGCTAAGCATATGTGGGAACTCCTTCAAGACTGTTGGAAAAGCATTGCAGGTGAGGCTGGTTGAGAGAATGCCAAGAGTGTGCAAAGCTGTCATCAAGGCAAAGGGTGGCTACTTGAAGGGATCTCAAATATAAAATATATTTTTATTTGTTTAACACTCCTTTGGTTACTACATGATTCCATATGTGTTATTTCATAGTTTTGATGTCTTCACTATTATTCTACAATGTGGAAAATAGTCAAAATTAAGAAAAACCCTTGAATGAGTAGGTGTGTCCAAACTTTTGACTGGTACTGTACACACTCACTCACTCACACACACACACACACACACACACACACACACACACACACACACACACACACACACACACACACACACACACACACACACACACACACACACACACACACACACACACACACACACACACACACACACACACACACACACACACACACACACTAATATGCTCTATAAGGGAGTGTATAATATTGAGGAGTCACCTATAGTCCACACCAGGGTTGCCTCCACAGGGGTAGTAGTCTCATTGATGTCGTTGCCATAGAGACAGAGGCCTGCCTCCAGCCTCAGACTGTCTCGTGCCCCCAGTCCGGCCAGCTTGACCTCACTGTTGCCCAATAGGTGCTCCGTCAGGGCCACCACGCCAGACTTAGGCACTGAGATCTGAGCAGGAGGAGGAGGAAATGACTAATACTACAAAGGTTGCAACACAGGGAAATAAACACATTATTGTTTACAAAGGCCTATTACTTTCAGACAAAGGATACTTGAAAGAAATGCACAGAGCACACAAAGAGAGAGTGAAAGACACACCTCCACTCCGTCCTCTCCGGTGTAGCCACACCGGGTCACCCTGCAGCCCTGGATCCCAAACACTGTGGCCAGGGTGCTGGTCATGAAGGTCAGCTTGCTGAGGTCATCTGTCAGACCCAACTGGAGCACCTTGGCCATGGAGGGACCTGAGGAGGACATGTACAGGGTTGTATTCATTAGTGCACACTGTAGCAAAATGTTTTGCAATGGAAAAAGTTTCTTATTGGACAAGTTCAGGTAGTCGCTCCCTGTTTCAGTCTGTTTTCTTCCATTTGGTGCCTAATGAATACAACTCAGGTCAAACACTACTTTAACACAGGGCCATGTTCAGGAGGGCACAACGTTGTGGAACCTTCAGATGTAAACATACTGAGTTGAACTGTTGCCATAAGAGCAGTGCTTAATTTGTAGTGTTAACTATAACCTGGGTGTCCTCTTTAGCCTTGTCTACAAGGCTTGCTGCCACCAAATGTGGCTTGGTTCAGGCATATTCAAAAACCTTTCTTCTGAGGGTTCTTTTTTTTTTTTTTTATACGTCTGATGCATAGGATGTTAATTTACTGTACATTCCACCCACTCTTTTGCTAGTTTAATCCCTCCAGTCGTTTCTAGACCGAAGCTCCCTACCTTTCTGCATGTTGTACAGCCCAACTTTGAATTCTGCATGACAAGCCATGTTTGCTTGTTCTTGAACTGCAAATTGCACCTGCTCCAAGCACTTCGTCAGTGGATGCACTGCCCCCCCCCCCCCCCCCCCCCCCAGTTCCCAGTCTACCTCTCCCGCTGAGTCTGACTCGCTAGTAGGACTACTAGCTAGTGGAGGTGCCGGTGGTGATGCTGAACTGGCGGGATTAGCATCGCCATCAGGAACAGTTTGCTCCTCACTCCTCTCCTCCGGCACTGACAGTTCTCTGGCTCGTTCTGGGTTCGATTCACCATCTTTCTCTGGATTTTTGGACTTGAAAAATGTCAAACTCGATTGCCTTTTCTTATACATTTTTTGGGGGGGCTTTCCCATTATTCAAATTCAGTAGGGAGACGACTAGACTAGGCTACGTGACGTGATTACGTATGGACCTCTTCACTAGCTGACCACCACTACCAAGACCTGTGTCAAGATCAGCTACTTACCCCACTGGCCCTCCCCCCATAACCTCTATGTACAAATAAGAGAGCAGGTCTGGAATCAGTCTGGCAGGATAGGATGATTACATAGAAGGATCACCGCGCTTTTACATTATGGTCTTTCTGGGGGGTGGGAGAAATAACGAGGAGGCAACTTGATTTAATGCTGATCGCTTTTATTAGAATGTCTACAGTGCGAACAGTGAAATAATTAATAAATCATGCCGCGAGAGGTACCGGATTTGGCCAAATTGGTGCCGGAACAAACTTTGTCAAATCTGAGAGGCGGATCCTGTTCCGGCAGGATCCGGCTCAAATTAAGCACTGCATAAGATAACTTACCTTGAACAGCAATTAAACATTCCTCCAGAAACTCCAGATCCACATCATGGCCAGCAGCTTTGAACTCTGCCAATCTAGCCTACAGCAAGCACAGAAAGTATCAGATACATGAAACACATACAGACATGACATATTATCAAAGCATTACAAATCCATCCAAAACTTGGATGTTTGCAGACTACTGACTTTCATGTTGGCGGAGTCCTTGTCTGCACAGCCAGCGTTGGACACCACGTAGAGGTAGCCTTGGTCTGTCTTGGTGACGATGAGATCATCATTAATTCCACCCTTGTCATTGGTGAAGAGGGTGAGCGTGCCCTGGAGATAGAAAAGTGGGAGAAGAGTGAGTGTGTGTGTATGTGCTTGTGTCTGTGTGTGGGCATGCATGTGTGTGCCTTTGCTTTCAGACATTTGTCTCACCTGGTTGTCCTTCAGCTCTGCTATGTCTCCAACAATCATAGACTCCATGAATTTCACTCTGTCTCTTCCATAGACTTTGCTCTGATAGAGAGACACAAAATGGATGCTATAGCCAATACAATAAGCACCGGATGTCTGACAGTTCCCAAATCTGCATAGTGAAATCCCTCTCACCTGTAACATGTGGCTGACGTCGAAGATGGAGCAGTGCTGGCGAGTGTGCATATGGGAGTTGATGTGGCTGTCTTTGTACTGGACAGGCATGCTCCATCCAGCAAACTCCACCATCTTACCTCCCTGGTCCAGATGGAAGTCAAACAGAGCAGTCTTCCTCATAGAGGCCTGGTTCAGAAAGAAAACACTTGTTATTGTTGTATGATCTGCTGTCACTGCTATAATGCCATTACTGTAATGTTATCAGTCATGTAAAGTAATGGAAGTTCATGTAACTGATACATACAACTGATTATCATATCATTGTAGGTGAGAACATATAACTGTGTGGAGGACAGCAGCAGGTCTGACTGGAAAGATTAATGTTATTATCATAACCATAACATAACCATACAAAAATACAGGTCATCGTCCTATAATATATAACAGTAATAATGTCGGTGATAAATGAGTCTCCTTCAGCAGCCATAGTGTACAGTATGAGTCTGGTGCGCGATTGTAATAAATGCACCCAGGTTATTATGTAGACTTCTTCTACTCTATTCTACTGTCACCTTTGACCTTTAACCCAGCCACTGTTTGCTCTTATCACTGGGCAGTGAGCAGTGCACTCTGGGGGCTGATGTTGGCCTGCTTACAGGTCTTTTGCGAAACAAGTCCAAGTCACCTCTCCCTAACTCTCTCTCTGCAGTCAAAACGAACACTGCTAATCTCTACTGCTTGATAGGTACGATGTGCTCAGTGTTCAGGATGCCTCTCTACCTCCTCTTATGCATCTACTGTAAAGAGTGAACAATAGGCCTACATACATTATTTACTACAGTAAATAGCTGTGAGAGGTGTAAACCAGGTCTAAATAAAATACTATATGCCACTCTTAAAACTGATTAGTACTCAACCCCTAACTTTTTTACAGGGATACTATTATCCAAGGTGAATTTCGGTGAAGGACCCTGACTTGCAGTGGGGTGCTGTAGCCTTGGAGAAAGACATAACATTCTATTACATTTTACAATAAATCTTCAGCAGCCTAAATTATGAAATGAAATCTCACTAGAACTGAGAATCGGAGTATGAATGGGATGGAGTGTTCATTCAATAGATTCGTTCTGAGATAAGGGATCTGAGGCAGGGCTATCTATAACCCAATGACAGAAGCCACTACTCTCATGCTTTTAATAAAATCATAATCTGCAGCAGCCAGTCAAGTGAGGGGATCTGTGCAGGCTCGGGGGCATTCTGCTGGGACAGATGTAGATTTGATTTGCATGACCAAGTGTGCCACAAATAAGAGGGGGAAACAATATGGAGCAAGAAAAACATATAACATAATATGCCATTTAGCTGACGCTTTTATCCAAAGCTACTTACTTTTACGTATGGGTGGTCCCGGGGATCGAACCCACTACCCTGGTGTTACAAGCGCCATGCTCTACCAATTGAGCTACAGAGGACCACATGATCACTGTTCTGTCATATTGCAATAGCGTATGCATCAAAATAAGAACAAAATCAAAGTTTGATAACAAAATACATCGAGATCTTATATATGGCGGCAGGTAGCTTAGTGGTTACGAGCGTTGTGCCAGTAGCCGAAATGTCGTTGGTTCTAATCCCCGAGCCGACTAGGTGAAAAATCTGTCGATGTGCCCTTGAGCAAGGCACTTAACCCTAATTACTCCAGTAAGTCGCTCTGGATAAGAGCGTCTGCTAAATTACTAAAATATGAAAAAATAAACCAAAGAAGGTTGAAATTAATATTCAATCTTTTCTAGCACAAGGCCAACTGCATATACAAATCCTTTAGAATTGTTACGTTTTGGGTGGCTTTTAGTGAGCTGTAGAAATTTGCCCTGCAGGTTGATGGAACAGTACCTCTGAATTTGAAGCATGCCTCTCCCGCCTCTCCGCTAATCCGAGTCCAGCGCTCTGTAGACACTCCCTCGGAACTTGGAAACCGAATCCGAACCTGCGGCCGCCAGACAGCATCCGAGCACACATCGTATCTTCCTTGCAGACGAAATCACGTTCCAGAAACACTTCGCTGTCGCCAACACTTTAGACTCCGTACTCAGAATTCTGCTTTCTCTGCAAAACAGCGACCCTGGTCAGAGCAATGTATTTTGGGAAATGTCGTTTATTAAGTTAGACATTCTTCAAACATGGAGAAAAACACACTACACAGGCGGGGCTGTTTGTCGCACAGTCTTATATTGTGTATCAACACTAAATGTTGCTGTCATTAAAAAATAAACATTGTAAACTATTTGTTTCTACACTTTTATTTATTTATTTATATTCATAAATATGATGCATATTGTAATAGTTTATCAGGAAGTGTATAGGTGACTAGAAACCGTGGATAGGGAGGATGTGGCAGGAACAGATTAGGAGAAAGCAGAGATGATGGCCAAAGCATTTGTCCAAGTGCATAGCTCCGCAAATCTGTCAGAGGAGGGGCAGATGGGGAGAGAGAACACAAGAGAGGAGCATCCTGGAGTTCTGGATAGGAGGGAGGATGTAAATGATGCGTTGAATGCACCATTTACCAGGGCAGAGGTGAAAAGAGCAATAGGTAAGGCTGGGTTAACTTCACCTGGGAAAGATGAGGTGTGCTGTGTTATGTTTTCCCATCTTAGTGATGAGGCACTGGATAAGGTATTGGTGTTGTACAACAGAGTGTGGGAGGAGGGGAAACTACCAGGCAGTTGGAAGGAGGCAGTAGTGGTACCAATCCGGAAGCCCAGGAAGGACCCACGATGCCAACAAGCTATCGGCCAATAGCTTTAACATCACATGTATGTAAGATTATGGAACGTATGATTACGGAGAGGCTAACTTACTTCCTGGAGAGCAGAGGGCTAGTATCGCCACATCAGAGTGGGTTCAGGAAGGGTAGGGGAAATATGGATCGAGTGCTCTGCTTAGAAGCAGAAGTCAGGAAGGCTCAGTTGAACAAGGATACTGTTGTAGCTGTCTTTTTTGATGTGGAGAAGGCGTATGATATGATGTGGAAGGAGGGGTTGTTAATCAAGCTTGATATTATGGGGGTAGGAGGAAGAACGTACAACTGGATAAAGGATTTCCTGTTTGGAAGGTCTATCCAGGTGAGGGTGGGGAAGTCTTTATCAGGCAGCTACCTGGTGATAATGGTACACCACAGGGGAGCGTGATTAGTCCTCTGTTGTTCTCAATCATGATCAATGATGTTTACTGATGATGATGGGGCCTTATGGAAGAGGGGAAGAAATGTGCCATATATAGTCAGGAAGGTACAGGAAGCAATTGATGAGGTAGAGTGGTGGACATTAATGTGGGGATTCAGGTTCTCTGTAGAGAAAACTCAAACAGTGTTCTTTACCAGGAGGAAGGTGGGAGATGAGGTATGCTTAAGGTTATATGGGAGAAACTTGGAGAGGTGGATGGAGGAAGTCAAACAAGACAGAGTAGTTATTTGCTCTGATTCATGTGCAGTGTTAATGAGTCTCCTGTCCTTTAGCTCACGTAGCAGACAATACCTGCTTTATGAGGTGCTACAAACCAATGGCAGGATTAAACAGATGGGTATTCAGATAAGATTTAGTTGGGTCCCAGCCCATGTGGGGGTGGAGGGGAACGAGGCAGTAGATGCACAGGCTAAACAAGCACTTAGTAGTGTGGATGTTGATGTTGAAGTTTCAATGAGCAAGGAAAATACAAAAATACTGATATATACAGTGATGGTGCAGAGATGGCAGGAGCAGTGGAATAGAGATAATAAGGGAAGGCATTTATAAGGGAAGGCAGGAAGGGACAGAAGAGAGGAGGCTATTTTTACAAGATTAAGGGTGGGACACAGCCAGTTGAATAAGACATTAAATGTGATAGGAATGCATCCAACAGGAAAGTGTGATTATTGTCAGGAAACAGAGACTGTGGAGCATGTATTGTTACAGTGTGGGCAGTATCAGAGGGAAAGAGAGAGGATCGAGATCTAGTATGAGGGAGAAGGGGATACAGGAAATTAGTTTAAAGAGTATATTGAGTAGAACGTCATTAGATATAGTCTCAAATATTTTGTTAGCTTTTTTTAAAGCAACGGGGCTGGCAGGTAGGATTTAGTTTCTCCCTGTCTCTGGCCCACACTCCAGTACAGTAGGTGACGGTAATGCACCATAACGTTGGATGCCAACCGCCGATAAACCCCACTGAAGAAGAAGAAGAACCGTGGATAGATGGCAGCATTCGCGCAAAACTGAAAGCGCGAACCACCGCATTTAACCATGGCAAGGTGACTGGGAATATGGCGGAATACAAACACTGTAGCTACTCACTCCGCAAGCCAATTAAACTGGCAAAACATCAGTATAGAGAAAAAGTGGAGTCGCAATTCAACGGCTCAGACACAAGACGTATGTGGCAGGGTCTACAGACAATCACAGCCACGTTGCCTACACCGATGTCTCGCTTCCAGACAAGCTAAACACCTTCTTCGCCTGCTTTGAGGATACCACAGTGCCACTGACGAGGCCCACTACCAAGGACTGTGGCCTCTCCTTTTCCATAGCCGACATGAGTAAGACATTTAAGCATGTTAACCCCCGCAAGGCTGCCGGCCCAGACTGCATCCCTAGCCGCGTCCTCAGAGCATGCGCAGACCAGCTGGCTGGTGTGTTTACGGACATATTCAATCTCTCCCTTTCCCAGTCTGCTGTCCCCACATTCTTAAATATGGCCACCATTTTTCCTGTACCCAAGAAAGCAAAGGTAACTGAACTAAATGACTATCGCACCGTAGCACTCACCTCTGTCATCATGAAGTTTTTCGAGAGACTAGTCAAGGAACGTGACCACTGAGTAGTAGGTACACACAATGATCACTTAACACACATACAATTATATTCCTATGGTCCACTTGGACCTACAGTATTCATATTCACTAGAGCAGAGAAGTGAAGTCACTGCACATTTTGTATTTTAAAAAGTGTTTCCCTTCATCACAACTTAGACATAATGTAGATCAGTGGTCATCCACAATGCATTGTGGAGGTTGGTTTCAATTTGTATACTAAAGGGCTTTTTCTGTTATTTCAGCCAATATTCCTCAAAATGAAAAGCACTGACTTGATAATGGTTTATTTTATGTCAATCATGGATCCAGAATGATTGGTCTGTTGAGCTCTGTGCTTATTTATGTTCAACATTATTGATTCTTTATGGAAAACCGTAAAAACGTGTAGTATGAAAATGTATGCACTCACTAACTGTAAGTCGCTCTGGATAAGAGCGTCTGCTAAATGACTAAAATGTAAATGATAATATCACCTCTACCTTACCTGTCACCCTAGACCCACTTCAATTAGCTTACTGCCCCGATAGATCCACAGACGATGCAATCGCCATCACACTGCCCTATCTCATCAGGACAAGAGGAATGCCTATGTAAGAATGCTGTTCATTGACTAGCTCAGCATTCAACACCATAGTACCCTCCAAGCTCATCATTAAGCTTGAGGCCCTGGGTCTAAACCCCACCCTGTGCAACTGGGTCCTGGACTTCCTGACGGGCCGCCCCAGGTGGTGAAAGTAGGAAACAACATCTCCACTTCGCTGATCCTCAACACTGGGGCCCCACAAGGATGCGTGCTCAGGCCCCTCCTGTACTCCCTGTTCACCCATGACTGCGTGGCCAAACACGCCTCCAACTCAATCATCAAGTTTGCAGATGACACAACAGTAGTAGGCTTGATTACCAACAATGACGAGACAGCCTACAGGGAGGAGGTGAGGGCTCTGGGAGTGTGGTGCCAGGAAAATAACCTCATACTCAACGTCAACAAAACAAAGGAGATGATCGTGGACTTCAGGAAACAGCAGAGGGTGCACCCCCCTATCCACATCGACGGGACCGCAGTGGAAAAGGTGGAAAGCTTCAAGTTCCTTGGCGTACACATCACTGACAAACTGAAATGGTCCACCCACGCAGACAGTGGGGTGAAGGCACAACAGAGCCTCTTCAACCTCAGGAGGCTGAAGAAATTTGGCTTGGCACCTAAAACCCTCACAAACTTTTACAGATGCACAATTGAGAGCATCCTGTCGGGCTGTATCACCGCCTGGTACAGCAACTGCACCGCCCGCAACCGCAGGGCTCTCCAGAGGGTGGTGCGGTCTGCTGAATGCATTACTGGGGGCAAACTACCCGCCCTCCAGGACACCTACAGCACCCAATGTCACAGGAAGGCCAAAAAGATCATCAAGGCCATCAACCACCCGAGCCACTGCCTGTTCATCCAGAAGGCGAGGTCAGTACAGGTGCATCAAAGCTGGGACAGAGAGAATGAAAAACAGCTTCTATCTCAAGCCCATCAGACTGTTAAATAGCCATCACTAGCACATTAGAGGCTGCTGCAGCCTATTGAAATCACTGGCCACTTTAAGAAATGGAACACTAGTCACTTTAATAATGTTTACATATCTGGCACTACTCATCTCATATGTATATACTGCATTCCATTCTATAATATTCTACTGTATCTTAGTCCATGCCGCTCTGTCATTGCTTGTCCATATATGTAGATATTCTTAAATTCCATTCCTTACTTAGATTTGTGTGTATTGGGTATATGTTGTGAAATTGTTAGATATTACTTGTTAGATATTACTGCACTGTCGGAGCTAGAAGCACAAGCATTTCGCTACACCCGCAATAACATCTGCTAAACACGTGTATGTGACAAATATCATTAGATTTGATTGTATAGTAATGAAGATGTTATAACAAAATGTTTGCACGCTCTGTCTTACTGTCTTTGATCAAATAATTGTAATGTTTTAAATTTGTTTTCTACTCAGTCGGGGTCTTAACTTACTGTTGCAAGTAAGAATAGTAGAATACACAAGGTGCAATTTCAAAATTTGGTTGCGCATCAACAGTTTTTCTCTTGTTACTGAGTCACTGATAGTCAGGCAATTAGCCCAATTAGCCCAAGTTAGTCTAGTAGCCAGCTATATAAATTTAGTAATTATGGTCGAATTACCGGCAGAGAGCCTCCCATTGATTTTGTTAGTCAGTCTCACTCAGATATCATATTAAAAACTGCAAACTCCACTCTATGGCAAAATGTGTAGAATTGCAGGAAATTAGCTGTAGAACAGCACATTTTCCTCTCCACCCCATGGCAAAATGAGTAGAATTGCATGAAATGAGTTGTAAAATTGCTCAAACTTATCTCCGCACCATGGCAAAATGTGTAGAATTGGAGCAAACTTTATTTAAAACTGCAACATTTCTGGATCTGGGTGGATCGTAGCCTACCTCTCAAGCAGTAGCAATGTGTTCCAGTCCATTGCACCTCCTCATCCACTTCAATATAGCCTGCTGTGTCTCACATTGAATAGATAAACTGTTAGCTTTAAACTGTCATTAGATCACTTGTTGAATTGCATATTAATAACATATTAACACACTAAAAAGCAGTCTTTTTATATTCGGGGACCTTTCACTTTGCTCTGGGTTCTGTTGCTTACTGTATCTCCTCTGCCCCTGTTGGATAATTGAATGAACCTATGGCCCAGTAGCAGCTATTAATACCACCTTCGTTCCAGCTTCTATTTTAGGGTAGAAGCTGTTAGGGTAGGGGCTAGCAGCAGGGAGGGCAGGGTTTGGGGGCACAAGACACAGACACAAAACACTGGGACTCGACTCGACTCGCTTCCATGTGACAAGGCAATATTTCAACCTGGACTCTCTTCAGAAGGCTAATACAGTTGTGATGAATATTTTGTTTGTGTGTATCATGATCCTGCATTCACCTGACCTTTTCCATCATTTGTTGTTGACACGTATTGGGAACGTATTGAAAGCAGCTTTGTGTTCTTGAGGAGACACACACAGAGACACGTGAATCCAGTATCTTTCTCCTCTGTTTTATGTTAACAGAAGGTAAGAGCAGAGAGAGGGAAGAAGGCAATGTGGCTGACTTGGTGGATGGCACTAGCTGGACACTTGATTGATTGTGTGGAGAAAACTCATGGATATTGTGTCCCTAAATTTTTGGGGTGAAGCCTGGATACCAGAATAAAAAATGGGGTAGAAGTGTCTGGTTTGATGAATCATGCATGTGTTTTTGTGTGTAAGAGAGTATTTGTGTCCCTTATATCAAAATAATAGTGACTGCCTATCAATGCCAATATGTAGCAGCATAGTGTGCTTATAGCATTATTGTACAGTACATTTCTTCTGATATCAACTAGGCTGCATGGCTGAAATGGCTTCTTATTTTGGCATGACATGTGGAAACAATCAGTCAGACAAAGGGCCTGTTCTCAATCACCTCTCCACTGGTCTTGGCCCTGAGTCCAAATTCCAAGTTCCTGATAACAGTTTTATTTTGATTATCAGCAATAACATTTAGAAACCTGGTGTCTACGACAGGCCATGTGGCTTCAATTTTGTCACCCTCTTCTCTCTCTCTCCCTCCTACCCTCCAGGGTAAATGGCAAAATCCCCTCCATCCCCTATCACTTCAGTATCATCCCCTACCACTCCAGTATTTTTTACTCGGATCAGTGATAGGGACCTGACTGAGATCGAGCTACATTCCGTGGAGTCCATCAACGACCTACACCGCACCCACCCAGTATACAACCACAAAGGTACCAGACATTGCCAGGCTGTATCGTGTAACTATAGACTTGCATCCAAAGGCACCACTGAAATGTGCTGCTCATTGCTCCCCATTGCTTATAGTCGCTATAATCTCCACTGTCTCTATGGTCTCTTCAGGCAGCAGACGACCTCCTCTTCCTCCTGCTCCCTCCACCAATGGGAACCTCCATCTCAGGGACAGACCGATTGTCTGTCAGACAGGGCATCCAATGAGAAGTCGATGGCAGAGTACGCTCCGAGACCTGTTGACGCCCACCTCGTTTCGATACACCATGATAGCACTGATGCTATTGATGCTGCTTGTTATCTTCTATTTCTTAGGTAAAGCTATTCACTTACTCTTTCATGATCTGAAATCCAACGATGCACGTTTTGCCTTGGTGTCCCTTTATGTGACTGTTTCTGCGTCCCCCCTCCAGTGCAGCAGGGCAGCGCTCTCCGGTCCCTGACTAAGGCAGTGATGGAGAGACAGGCTGCGGCCCTAAAGATCTCCCAACTCATCCAGGAGCTGCAGGCGCTGCGCCATAACCTCTCAGCCATCACGGGAGGACCCTGAGGAGCAGAGGTCACCGAAAGGAACACCCTTCACCCCCTGGCCCCTGAGGGACCTGTCCTAGGGGCCCCTGGACAATGAGACTGTTACACCAACTGTTACACTACATGTCCCAACATCAAGTCAAATCCCTTCCCTGCACATGGTATTGGAACTTGGGTCCGTCCAGAAACAACCCCTGGCCCCTACTCCCATATGAGCAGAGCCCGGGTGTTAGAAAACCCACAGAGAATTTCCATATACTGTATATTTATAAGTTGTTTGATTTGCTAGGCAAATCTCACAAAGAATAGACTCATACAGTATGATTGTAGGGTTCTGAACACTTTATAGCATCTTTAGGGACTTCACAGCACAAAGGACCACACTCTTGAACTGACAATGAATGTACTCAGACAACTGCACAGGGACACAGAAATGGTTGAGGTTCGAGATGCCCATGTGATCTGTGACTTACACAGCTGTAACTTTTAGAAGTGGTATTCTTTTACATGTATCCATTTGACAGGAAATGTATGATGAAATGTCACAGCCATTTTGTTACTGAAACACTTTGCCGATTTGGGAAATTCTGTCTGACTATCAAAACTTAAACATGTTACGAGTGGAACTGAATTGTATAGAATGAATACGCTGAGGTAGTGCCTTAGCACGTTTTCAATTTGATACACTTGGTGGAATTGCAATGATGCCACTGTACACCAACTAAATAAACAAAAGAGGTGATATTCAAATAAAATTGTATTTGTCACATGAGCTGAATACAACAGGTGTAGACCTTACTGTGAAACGCTTACTTACGAGCCCTTAACCAACAATGCAGTTCAATAAATTGAGGGGGGGGGTCAATGTAAATAGTCCGGGTGGCCATTTTATTAATTGTTCAGCAGTCTTATGGCTTGGGGGTAGAAGCTGTTAAGAAGCCTTTTGGACCTAGACTTTGCATTCCGGTACCGCTTGCTGTGCGGTAGCAGAGAGAACAGTCTATGACAGTTGCCATACCAGGCGGAGATGCAACCGGTCAGGATGCTCTCGATGGTGCAGCTGTAGAACTTTTTGAGGATCTGGGGACCCATGCCAAATCTTTTCAGTCTCCTGAGGGGGAAAAGGTGTTGTCGTGCCCGCTTCACAACTGTCTTGGTGTGTTTGGATATTATATATACAGTATCTCACAAAAGGGAGTACACCCTCACATTTTTGTAAATATTTGAATATATCTTTTCATGTGACAACACTGAAGAAATGACACTTTGCTACAAATGTAAAGTAGTGAGTGTACAGCTTGTATAACAGTGTACATTTGTTGTCCCCTCAAAATAACTCAACACACAGCCATTAATGTCTAAACCGCTGGCAACAAAAGTGAGTACACCCATAAGTGAAAATGTAAAAATTGGGCCCAATTAGCCATTTTCCCTCCCTGGTGTCATGTGAATCGTTAGTGTTACAAGGTCTCAGGTGTGTTAAATTTGGTGTCATCGCTCTCACACTCCCTCATACTGGTCACTGGAAGTTCAACATGGCACCTCATGGCAAGGAACTATCTGAGGATTTGAAAAAAAGAATTGTTGCTCTACATAAAGATGGCCTGGGCTATAAGAAGATTGCCAAGACCCTGAAACTGAGCTGCAGCACGGTGGCCAAGACCATACAGCGGTTTAACAGGAAAGGTTCCACTCAGAACAGGCCTCGCCATGGTCGACCAAAGAAGTTGAGTGCACGTGCTCAGCGTCATATCCAGAGGTTGTCTTTGGGAAATAGACGTATGAGTGCTGCCAGCATTGCTGCAGAGGTTGAAGGGGTGGGGGGTCAGCCTGTCAGTGCTCAGACCATATGCCGCACACTGCATCAAATTGGTCTGCATGGCTGTCGTCCCAGAAGGAAGCCTCTTCTAAAGATGATGCACAAGAAAGTCCGCAAACAGTATGCTGAAGACTAGCAGACTAAGGACATGGATTACTGGAACCATGTCCTGTGGTCTGATGAGCCCAAGATAAACTTATTTGGTTCAGATGGTGTCAAGCGTGTGTGGCGGCAACCAGGTGAGGAGTACAAAGACAAGTGTGTCTTGCCTACAGTCAAGCATGGTGGTGGGAGTGTCATGGTCTGGGGCTGCGTGAGTGCTGCCGGCACTGGGGAGCTACAGTTCATTGAGGGAACCTTGAATGCCAATAAGTACTGTGACATACTGAAGCAGAGCATGATCCCCTCCCTTCGGAGACTGGGCCGCAGGGCATTATTCCAACATGATAACGACCCCAAACACACCTCCAAGACGACCACTGCCTTGCTAAAAAAGCTGAGGGTAAAGGTGATGGACTGGCCAAGCATGTCTCCAGACCTAAACCCTATTGAGCATCTGTGGGGCATCCTCAAACGGAAGGTGGAGGAGTGCAAGGTCTCTAACATCCACCAGCTCCGTGATGTCGTCATGGAGGAGTGGAAGAGGACTCCAGTGGCAACCTGTGAAGCTCTGGTGAACTCCATGGCCAAGAGGGTTAAGGCAGTGCTGGAAAATGATGGTGGCCACACAAAATATTGACACTTTGGCCACAATTTGGACATTTTCACTTAGGGGTGTACTCACTTTTGTTGCCAGCGGTTTAGAAATTAATGGCTGTGTGTTGTTGTTATTTTGAGGGTACAGCAAATTTGCACTGTTATACAAGCTGTACACTCACTACTTTACATTGTAGCAAAGTGTCATTTCTTGAGTATTGTCACATGAAAAGATATACTCAAATATTTACAAAAATGTGAGGGGTGTACTCACTTTTGTGAGATACTGTATATATTGGTGATAGAGGCTATCCTTTCCGGACACTCCTCACCCGCCCAGCCCTGATAGCACTGGCACAGGAAGTTAGTGAGAAGGCGACTGAGGTCATGACAGGGGTCAGAAAGGGGGATCATGTGGTCAGAGTATGGGTCCCCTCTGGCACAACGATCGTTGCCATCGGTTCGCTCTTCGCTGCACCCCTCTCTTCAGGGTGCTTATGTACTCTCCCAGTTTAGAATGAATGTAGTCCCTCAGTATCACACACTGACGCTGTGGAGAGGAGGGAGAGAGAGATTAATTTACAAATACTAAACATAAAAAATTATCTAATAGAAACTGAACTGCATACACAGTCAAGGTAATAATGTCTGTAGAGGTATTTATGTGTATAATATGTGTATATTATAGTGGATGTACATGTACAGACTGAGGTCTATAGGATCTGACCTTTGACTTAGCGAACCCCACAGGAGGTTGGTGGCACCTTAATTGGGGAGTCCAGGGCTCGTGGTAATGACTGGAGCGGAATAGGTGGAATGGTATCAAATACATCAAACATGGTTTCCAGATGTTTGATGCCATTCCATATGCTCCGTTCCAGCCTTTATGAGCCGTTCTCCCCTCAGCAGCCTCCACTGACACACACACACACACACACATCAACCAAATACAAAAATGCATACACACTGGAAGACGTAAGAGGGACAGAATATCTTTCCCGGTGTGTGCTGGCATCTCCTGCCAGGTGTGCCCATATGTCACTGTCAACATGCCCAGATTAATGGGATACCAGCTTGATTACTTTACCTAAAACTTAGGTTCTAAGTGTACAGTATTCCACAAAGCCATATAATCCATGAGAACAGTACATTGTGCCAGGTATTATATCAAAGACTGTATAATATTCATAACATAAGTGCATCAGTGGTAACAGTAATGTTATACTTTATACTTTACCTTGTTGAGTAAGTGGAGGGTGTGGGCGAATGCCAGTCTGGCATAGGGCAGTACAGGAGTGGCATGGATGGCAGTGGGGTATTGGTTCGCCACCCTCAGGGCTTCCAGGAGCCTATGCCTGACCAGGAGGGTGACATCAGAGGACCCTGTCAGCCGCTGGGGTAGGTAGATACCGGGGTAGAGGGAGGTGGACTGTCACCACAGCCATGCTAGCTGGTCATTCTTCTGCCTGGTCTTGGGATGGCGGTGGCCTGTGTAGCTGTGTCCTTTCTGCTTCCTGTGGTGGTTGAAGCATTCAGGGAAGCCGTAGAAACCCCAAAGTCCCCTCGGTCGCAGGCACACTCCTAACCGCAGCGTCCAATACATGAAGGCCCTGTTGCCCCTCTCAAACTCCTTATGGGCCAGGGAGTTCCCTTCCGGTTTGGTTAGCTCTGGGTATTCACGCCTCACTAGTGATTTAGACAGCCGGCGGTACTCCAGCTTCATGCCAAAGCCCTCAACCACAGGGGGCGCAACTCCTCCCTGTTGACAGAGGCCAGGCCGTTGAAGCCCGGCCTGAGCAGGGCTGAGATCTGAGTCTGGGCCAGGGCCAGGTGGGCCTCCAGGTCGCCCCTCTGGGGAACCCCTCCGTTGACCTGAAGACCTTCCTGGGAGATGTAAGCGTAGTTCCAGCTGGTTGCGGTAGAAGATGCTTATGTTCTGGCCCTTGAAGTTCTAGTGGTGGCTCTCCACAATGTCAAAGACCCCCAGGTCCAGGTGGATGCCGTAGCATTCCTGGGAGCGCGCTGTGGGAATGTTCCAGACCATTGTGAAGGGCATGACCTGGACCACTAGCCCTGTAGAGAGGCTAGCCTCACCAACAGCCCCCCACTGGGGAGTGACAGGGATGGTGGAGAGGAGGAGGGTGGTGAGAGGGAAGTTGTGTAGCAGCATGGCTGTTCACTGGCTAATGTCTTGTCATTCCTAAAGAGAACAGACAGATAGACAGATTTCTGTTCAAACTAAATTCAGTAGTGACCGATGTTAATAGTTAAAGACCCTTGGAGATTGTCTACATAGAAGCTTTCATTTTATGCTTTTATCAGCTGATCACTAGCAATTAGCAATCTTAAATGGTGACTCATAGAAAACACGTAGCAAGACACTTAAATACACTGTTCTTTATTTCAACACCAAAATGAATGAAACATTAGGCACAAAATATAGCTCCAGAGATAATTATTTAGTTTGATCAGGCAAAATGAACCGTTCAATTCATACATTTTCAATTTCAGGACAAGAAGAAAAACTACTTTGGCACTTAAGGCACATCTGAGCACAAACATTTGGTTTGGTATTATCTGGTCAAGTATTATCTCAGTCTACAGCAGCAAGTATATCTCTGTCAAGTCTCAGGGACTACACAGTTCACTTGAGAGCCAGCCAGACCATTAAAATATCCTTCCTTCTCAGTCTGTCAATCCCTACAGGATGTGCTACTAGATAGGCCAGAGGGACTGACCTTTCCCCCATGACCTTTGACCTCTGTCCTGAGCATGTGTGTGTGAGGCTGAGTGACATGGGTGACATGGCCTGTGGTCAGCCAGGCCCTCAGACTCAGATGTCCTTGTGCATCCAGAAGATAGGAACTCCTTTAGCGTCTCTGTAGGGCGTCTCCTCAAGGGTCTGAACCACCAGCCGGGCCGGACACTGAGTAGGAGGAGGAGGAGGAGGAATAGAGGGAGGAGGAGGTGGAGGAGGTAGACAAGAGGGAGGAGGTGGAGATAGAGCAGAGGGAGGAAGGGGAGGGGGTGGAGGAGGGGGTATAAAGGGAGGAGGAGCTGGAGGAGTGGAAAGACTAGAAAGAGGAGGAAGAGGGGGAACACTAGAAGGTGTGGGAGGAGGAGGAGGAGGCGGAGGCACTACAGAGGAAGGAGGCCGCTGGGGTGGTGATGGTGGGCCTCCCTGTACTTCACCCTGGGTGTCGTCTGTCCCTGGGAGCCTGGAGAACCTCTCCAGCACGTCCATGGGCATGAAGGACCCCATGACCCCAGCGTTCTGCACAGGTGTGGACAGCACATAGCCCAGGTGGGTGTAGAAGTGCTGCTTGTCATGGGTGGTCAGACACAGCCTCTTGAACCCTCGGGTCTTAGCGTAACGCTCCGTCTCTTGCATCAGCGTACGGCCGTAGCCCTTCCCCCTCTGGGCCTTCGAGACCACCACAGACTCCACAAAGAGGCTCCCGGGGCGGGACACCACACGGGACAGCCGGACGTGCCCCAGGAGGGACTCCCCGTCCCCACCGTCCCTGTTCCCAGAGCCCTGCAGCAGCACCAGGGCCACAGGGAACTCCTGGCAGGACTTCTGGAGGGTGTGGACCCGGGCACCGCGGCTCCGCTGCCACTCGCTGTTCACCAAGTCAGCACAGGGCTCCAGCAGGTCTGGGCGCTGGTGCAGAGGGATCGCCCGCACCCCCCTGCCGTCACACCTGTGATTCCCCCCAGACAACAGGGGACAGCCAGGGTCAGAACACACAGAGGAAGGGGATCCATCTTCATGCACATGCACCTGGTTACATCATCAGACGACTGCACTTGAACTACTAAATACCCCAGCGTGTCACAAAGTACAGTTACTTATGACACAGCATTTATTTGATAGACCAAAACCAACCTAATTTCAAAACAATATTGCAAAAACAACAATGTGGTAATTTCTTGGTACAGAACATCACCTAAAATACAAGATGATGTGAACACTATTGTCATTATAGAAAGCTCACAATCCTAGCCTAATCCTCAATGAATTATTCTAGATTTCCTATATCATTGTTAGAAATTCTGCTAGAATGATGATAATGCACATTTTCTACTAGTTTTATCATTTATCAGAGCAGCATCCTTCACAACTTTGCAAATGACTATTTCAGACAAACTAATGACTTGACATAAGTCTATGATCTGGTATGTTATCAAAATCTGTGGCTCCCTTACACAACACTCAACCTGGTCTCAGAGCATTTCGTATTATTCTGAACGTAAATGCGAAACACTCCATTTAGTATGATATATAATGTTTTGTATGGTATGTATTAATTTGTGGATATCCATCATCCATTTAGTTTGATATGTTATGAATTACAATTTGTATGATATGATACGAATTGCATTTCGTACAACACGGACACGAATGATCTGCTTGGCGTGTTGACACACTGGTGGTTTGTTGTGGCCGAGTATTGGTGCTAAACCGTGTTGTTGGAGGCTGGCATGCTAATTTGCTGTGGCGTCATAGGATTCGGTGCCCTGGACGGTTTTCACAGAAGAATACTGTACCAAGTTAGCTAGCTGAATAAACTAAGTTAGTCTATTCCTAGAAAACATTGAACCGCTGTAGTTTACAACAATTATAGTTTCTGAGGTGGAAGTTGGGAGAGTTATATTTGGGTGTTTCAGTGAAACGTAAGTGAGGGAGGCCCCGCTCTCTCGCTTTCCCAGATGTTTAGTTCATTTCATTCCGATCTCCTTTGCATTATTGTAGCCATTTTCTGTAGCCTGTCAACTATATGTCTATCCCTGTTCTCTCCTCTCCGCACAGGCTATACAAACGCCTCACACCACGTGGCTGCTGCCACTCTAACCTGGTGGTCCCTGCACGCACGACCCACGTGGAGTTCCAGGTCTCCGGCAGCCTCTGGAACTGCCGTTCTGCGGCCAACAAGGCAGAGTTCATCACAGCCTATGCTACCCTCCAGTCCCTCGACTTCTTGGCGCTGACGGAAACATGGATTACCACAGAAAACACTGCTACTCCTACTGCTCTCTCCTCGTCTGACCATGTGTTCTTGCATACCCCGAGAGCATCTGGTCAGCGGGGTGGTGGCACAGGAATCCTCATCTCTCCCAAGTGGACATTCTCTTTATCTCCCTTGACACAGATCTGTCTATCTACTCATTTGAATTCCATGCTGTCACAGTCACTAGCCCATTCAAGCTTTACATCCTTATCATTTATCACCCTCCAGGTTCCCTTGGAGAGTTCATCAATGAGCTTGACGCCTTGATAAGTTCCTTTCCTGAGGATGGCTCACCCCTCACAGTTCTGGGTGACTTTAACCTCCCTACGTCTACCTTTGACTAATTTCTCTCTGCCTCCTTCTTTCCACTCCTCTCCTCTTTTGACCTCACCCTCTCACCGTCCCCCCCTACTCACAAGGCAGGCAATACGCTTGACCTCATCTTTACTAGATGCTGTTCTTCTACTAATCTCACTGCAACTCCCCTCCAAGTCTCCGACCACTACTTTGTATCCTTTTCTCTCTCGCTCTCCTCCAACACTACTCACTCTGCCCCTACTCAGATGGTAATGCGCCGTCGCAACCTTCGCTCTCTCTCTCCCGCTACTCTCTCCTCTTCCATCCTATCATCTCTTCCCTCTGCTCAATCCTTCTCCCTCCAATCTCCTGATTCTGCCTCCTCAACCCTCCTCTCCTCCCTTTCTGCATCCTTTGACTCTCTATGTCCCCTATCCTCCCGGCCGGCTCGGTCCTCCCCTCCTGCTCCGTGGCTTGACGACTCATTGCGAGTTCACAGAACAGGGCTCCGGGCAGCCGAGCGGAAATGGAGGAAAACTAGACTCCCTGCGGACCTGGCATCTTTTCACTCCCTCCTCTCTACATTTTCTTCCTCTGTTTCTGCTGCTAAAGCCACTTTCTACCACTCTAAATTCCAAGCATCTGCCTCTAACCCTAGGAAGCTCTTTGCCACCTTCTCCTCCCTGCTGAATCCTCCTCCCCCTCCCCCCCCTCCTCCCTCTCTGTGGATGACTTTGTCAACCATTTTGAAAAGAAGGCTGACGACATCCGATCCTCGTTTGTTAAGTCAAATGACACTGCTGGTCCTGCTCACACTGCCCTACCCTATGCTTTGACTTCTTTCTCCCCTCTTTCTCCAGATGAAATCTTGCGACTTGTGACGGCCGGCCGCCCAACAACCTGCCCGCTTGACCCTATCCCCTCCTCTCTTCTCCAAACCATTTCCGGAGACCTTCTCCCTTACCTCACCTCCCTTCATCAACTCATCCTTGACCGCTGGCTATGTCCCTTCCATCTTCAAGAGAGCAAGAGTTGCACCCCTTCTCAAAAAACCTACACTCGATCCCTCCGATGTCAACAACTACAGACCAGTATCCCTTCTTTCTTTTCTCTCCAAAACTCTTGAGCGTGCCGTCTTTAACCAACTCTCTTGCTATCTCTCTCAGAATTACCTTCTTGATCCAAACCAGTCAGGTTTCAAGACTGGTCATTCAACTGAGACTGCTCTTCTCTGTGTCACGGAGGCTCTCCACACTGCTAAAGCTAACTCTCTCTCCTATGCTCTCGTCCTTCTAGACCTTCTAGACCTATCCTTCTGCCTTTGATACTGTGAACCATCAGATCCTCCTCTCCACCCTCTCCGAGTTGGGCATCTCCGGCGCGGCTCACTCTTGGATTGCGTCCTACATGACAGGTCGATCCTACCAGGTGGCGTGGCGAGAATCTGTCTCCGCACCACGTGCTCTCAACATTGGTGTCCCCCAGGGCTCAGTTCTAGGCCCTCTCCTATTCTCGCTATACACCAAGTCACTTGGCTCTGTCATGTCCTCACATGGCCTCTCCTATCATTGCTACGCAGACGACACACAATTAATCTTCTCCTTTCCCCCTTCTGATAACCAGGTGGCGAATCGCATCTCTGCATGTCTGGCAGACATATCAGTGTGGTTGACGGATCACCACCTCAAGCTGAACCTCGGCAAGACGGAGCTGCTCTTCCTCCCGGGGAAGGACTGCCCGTTCCATGATCTCGCCATCACGGTTGACAACTCTGTTGTGTCCTCCTCCCAGAGTGCAAAGAGCCTTGGCGTGACCCTGGACAACACCCTGTCATTCTCTGCTAACATCAAGGCGGTGACCCGATCCTGTAGGTTCATGCTCTACAACATTCGCAGAGTACGACCCTGCCTTACACAGGAAGCGGCACAGGTCCTAATCCAGGCACTTGTCATCTCCCGTCTGTTTTACTGCAACTCGCTGTTGGCTGGGCTCCCTGCCTGTGCCCTGCCTGTGCCATTAAACCCCTACAACTCATCCAGAACGCCGCAGCCCGTCTGGTGTTCAACCTTCCCAAGTTCTCTCACGTCACCCCGCTCCTCCGCACACTCCACTGGCTTCCAGTTGAAGCTCACATCTGCTACAAGACCATGGTGCTTGCCTACGGAGCTGTGAGGGGAACGGCACCTCCGTACCTTCAGGCTCTGATCAGTCCCTACACCCAAACGAGGCCATTGCGTTTATCCACCTCTGGCCTGCTGGCCCCCCTACCTCTGCAGAAGCACAGTTTCCCGCTCAGTCCAGTCAAAACTGTTCGCTGCTCTGGCACCCCAATGGTGGAACAAGCTCCCTCACGACGCCAGGACAGCGGAGTCACTCACTACCTTCCGGAGACACTTGAAACCCCACCTCTTTAAGGAATACCTGGGATAGGATGAAGTAATCCTTAATCCTTACCCCACCCAAAAAAAAAAAAAAAACGATTGTAAAGTGGTTGTCCCACTGGCTATCATAAGGTGAATGCACCAATTTGTAAGTCGCTCTGGATAAGAGCGTCTGCTAAATGACGAAAATGTAAAATGTAATGTTTACGAATTACAATTCGTACAATATATTTTGAATTTGCCAAACATAAAATATGTTACAAATTCGCAAAATGTATATGTTACGAATTCCAAATTGTTGTGGCTAACATTAGCTAGGTGGCTAATGCTAATGCTTGCTAGCTGGCTATCATGAGCTAGGCTAGGGGTTAGTGTTAAGTTTAGGAGTTAGGTTAAAGGGTTAAGGTTAGGGTTAGCTAACATGCTAAGTAGTTGCAAAGTAGCTGAAAAGTAGTAAGTAGTTGAAAAGTTGCTAATTAGCTAAAATTGTCCGTGATTAGATTCGAACACGCAACCTTTGGGTTGCTATACGTTCGCGTTATATGCCCACCCTCCTTTCATTTTTGCGTTAAGTAACCATACCTATGTTATGTGTAGTCTATGAGACCAGGCTGCAACACTGGGTAGCATTGAACAGGAGCCCTGCCATCCCTTAAATCAGCGTTTCCTAAGCACAGCTGATTCAAATAATGAACTAATCATCAAGCTTTGATTATTTGAATCAGCTGTGTAGTGCTAGGGCATAAATCAAAACGTGCACGCCTTGGGGTCCCGATAACAGAGTTTAGGAAACGCTGCCTTAAATGCAGAGTATTTGCTGAGCATTACATATTATAGACAACATGGGCTAAGGGAAAACGTATGCTGCTATGCTTAAACATTTTACATTTGCATCCATATAGAAAAGACTACTAAAACCGGCTGAGAAACACATATTTGTACTATACTAGGCCTATCACCAAGCAATATACAAAAGAAACAGCACGCCCTAGCAATGGCCAGCATCTTACCTGGAGCCAAGTTCTACTAGCAAAGATGACTAGTGAAGGGCAGGCAGAGAGGAGAGAGTATGCCAATAGCTTAATGACATGACACTGAACATACTACTGCAGACATTAAAAAACAGGAAATACATGAGTTATGACAGCCGCTCAATCACAAACTCATTATCTCATTAAGTGTTAAATAACACACTTCCTTAGTGACAAACATAGCAAGAGCTGACTCTTCCAGTAAATTGTTAGTGGGTTAATGTCTGCTGATACATAGTTACAAATTAGATGTTTAAACAAGCACTGATAAATTGTGGGCCTATACTTTTCCAAATAATGTGGAATTTAGTGGGGAGATGTAATTATGCCCATACAAGAAAGATTGCAGATTTGAAAGTGCAGTCGACTGTGGTATTTTGCACGCAGTAACACTGCAAAATTACTGCAGTAAAAAAAACAGTGTTATTTTGGACGCAGTATTTGCATCATACTGCAGTTATACCGCACGCTGACTGCAATCTTTTGTCTTAAGAGTGATCTGTACACTATTTGGTATTTTACAATAAAGCCACTGCTGCAGTTATCTAAATTGTATGTGGATACTGGTTTTGATTAACTGGGCGGGCCCCTGGTTTACTGCATCAAAGCATTATGAAGTGGAGCTTGTCTTTGATCTGCTGTATGACACCAGTTGCAAAATAGTATTTTCTTTGAAACACTGTTCTGATCTCAAGCTATCACTCACTGGTTCCAATCTAAAAGATTTCACCACCGCCAGAGCCTTATGTCCACTACTATGGTCAATCTTTCTCAATTGGTTTTAGTATTGGTGTTGTTTAAGCTGCAGGTATGACATTGTTGTCTTGAAAACTGGGTGTTGGAAAATAAAACATACAACTTAAAACTGGGTGAAATAATGAGAAACATGGTCTACTGAAAGATGTCAGGATGATTGGCGCTACACAGAACACAGTGTAAACTGCCACCCTTCACTTCCACTACCAAATATGGGCAGATTTAAAAATGAGTGACAGCGCTGACACAATGTAATCGTTTTTTGTCCTAAATGCATTGCGTTTACAGTACAGAATGCAACAAATAATTTTATGGCCATCTCTGTGAACGACATCAAAGGCAACATAAATCGTGCTGCTTCGGTAGTCTGTTTCTGAAAGTGCACTGACACACTGACTATTCTAAATGCCGCCTCGACTTCAAGCATTCATCCAGAAAACTTTCTTTCAACATATTTCCAAATATCCAAGACCTATTGTGCGAAAATGTATGCTCTTATAGCCTAATGCCACAGCTAATACCTACATTCTCAGGGTTTCACGCTTCTCCCGCTGAAAGTGGTCTCGAGACTGAGACGCGCCGTTCCTGGATCGGTTTTGGTTTTCTTTGATCAAACTAATCAGGATATGGTTCAGTCGCTTTCACTGGTCTGCGATCAGGATTTAACCATTTAGTGCACTGCCGGGAAACATTGACCGTTTTTGGCTGTGAGCACTGGTTCCATGTGGACAAGAAACGTAATTCCTCCACCCAGCGTATGGGAGGTATCATAGCATATTTTAGAAAACGACTGGAACTAGGCCATATACAGTAAATCATTGGATATCTCCCATGTTTATCTCAATGGATATTATCTCAAGGGATTACATAGGATTGACAGTCCCCCACCCCCCATATCAAACAATAGCTATTCCATAATCAGGAAACCATAACATGTATTACATGTATATTTTCCATCTTTAGTCAGGGATAGAGAATGGGAAGAGCTGGAAAGCCAGTGAAGAAACACTTCCTTCAGAATCCAACTATCCCTCAAAACCATAGATCCCCAATACCACCAACACACTGACACAGCAATATAATAAAATGTTTGCTTTATTCTTATCCAGGACAACTCATTCAGGATGATCAAGGAGAAATAAGCACAATATTTTTGTTTTACATTGTCGGAGATGGTGTTTTATCTGAATTCGTCAAAGTAAAACAAAATAATGAATATATAATAATACATTAATCAATACAACATGTGTGGATTAATGATAACAATAGCCCTGAAATTTAGGGTCTTCTGTGGTAATCACCGGCACTAACTGAATCAATCAACAACAGTAGGAGAGCTTTCAGAAAGGACTCAATCCCAATGAGGAAACACTTTACTTAAATCATATTTTATCAAAGCTTCTGTTTATCTTCATAAAATGTTTCTAAAACGTATCTTTAAACTTTTTCATTTTTTGTGTGCATTTGTAACTTTTTATTTTGCTATTTTTACATTTATTTTCTTTTTCACCAGGTGTCTGTTTTTTCAAGTGTGGGTGGTAACTATGTGTGTGCATGTGTCCTTGGTTGAGGTTTGTTGGTGTGTGTGTGCATGTGTGAGAGAGAAAGGACAAGCCTGCATGTCTGGGAGAGCGAATGAGTGTGTGTGTGTGTGTGTGTGTGTGTGTTGTATGTCCTTGCTGTGCTGTGGCGGTGTCAGGGTCGTAGCAGCAGGGACGTTGCTTTTTCAATTCATACAGAGAGCCTGAAGCAGGTTCAAGCAACTGCAAGAGTGTCTGTGTGATATTTAGGGGTGAGTAGAAAGTGTGTGTACACCTATGAGTGTTCAGCTAGAAATTCTGTGTGTCAGGGTGTACTTATACTATGTAAGTGGGTGTGTCTGAATGTCTATGTATCTGTTAATGAATGCAAATCTGCGTTTGTGTGTAAGGCACGGAGAAGGGTGGTCAGTCTCTCAGGTCCATGCTGGAGCCGAACAGAGCTACCAGCTGCTCCTCATAGTGGGTGATGTTCCTCTTCATGATCTCCTTACAGGAACCCAGCAGACGCTCAAACGCCTGAATGTCTATTACTGAAAAACACAGAGACACATCACTCACACAGCTGCACAACAGAGATGGAGACATGGGTCATATTCACTAAGAACAAAACGGAAGCAAACAGGCCAAAACGGGGAGGAACTACCTGAACTTGTTTTCGTGTTCCATTGCAAAAAGTTTCGCTACGGTGTGCACTAATGAATATCACCCTGTTGTAGCCTATGCTCCTGTATAGTTTATTTCTGACTGTTCTTTGCTATGCTTAGCTTAATCACCACAGACCTTTCAGTCGAAACATTTCAATAAAACTATAGCGGAGCATGCTAAAAGGTTGCTAAAGTATTTCTACTTCTTTCATATGACAATTTTGGTACCCTAACCATACACCTGGAGAATTGTGAGAAGTTCAAACACTTTTGAAGTCATAAGAGAGCTTAACCCTTTCACTAGTATGTCTGAGGGAACAGCTTTGCATCTATGCGTTTAGGGGGGAGATACTCCTCTAGAACACTTACTAGCTAGTAATCTACCATTAAGAGATTCAGGGAGACACAACAAATATAAAATATCTATCTGTCACGCAGATGGACACCCACCCATGCGTGTGTCTGTGTCAAATTAAACACAAACACACGCGTACCCACACACGCTTACACGCACACACACACAAATATCTGTAAATGTATGGAGGGGCCTTACCCAAGCACTTGACCTCTCCCACAGCGTACACTGATGCAGCGCGGGGCTTGTTGGTGACCAGGGCCAGCTCCCCAAAGTACTGACCCCTGCTACAGCGGGTGATCTCAACCTCCACATTATCCTCTTGGTTCGCCTTTGTCTGGGGGAGAGGGGATTCAATTTGTTTACTCTGATTTGAATAATTTGTAGCGGATTCAAATCTTTGGTTGCCGATTCGAATATTCAAAAAATTATGTTTTAGCATGGAGCACGAGCCACGGAGTGCCAAGGAAGCCCAAACGTGTTGTTCACTAGGCTATAGGCCATGTCTGCTGCAGCGGGACAAGACAGAGCCAGACCTGGGTTCAAATACATGGGTATTTGTAATTTAAATACTTATTTTCTATGTATTTGAGTATTTTCAAATAATGTGGCCAAATCAGCTACTTCTATTTTAAGAAAGTATTTTCAAATAACTTCCTATAAATAGCTGAAAGTATTTTCAAATCACTTACTATAAATAGCTGAAAGTATTTAACACTTTTTTTTTCCAAAATAAATGTAAAGTTTAAATGCATGGTGTATTTAAATATATGTATTTGAAAGCACACTTGTCTGTGTATTTGAGTATTTTCAAATACATGCCAATACTTTCCAAGTGTACTTTCAAATAGAATTCCAATATCCAGATGCTTGTAGAAAAAATATAAAACTAAATATCATAGAAGAAATATGAAAATACTTACTTTCAAAAAGTCTTAGAAAGTAATTGAAATACCCTTAATAGTATTTGAACCCAAGTCTGGACAGAGCCATGAGAAAACTCACTTTATTGATTCCCAAAGGGGAAATTTGACTGCACCAGCTAATACATACAACACCAATAAATAGACAATAAAGGACATGCAGACACTAAAAGCAGCACATCAATGCGTTATGAAAACTAAATGTTAAGATTAAAAAGACTCATAGCAGAAGGTAGAAAGGATCTGGAAACCTTCTGTCTTGCACCGTTCTGTCTTATATAAAAGTGGTGGAAACAAATGGTTGGCTCACCATTTACTAAGAAGTTATCAGATGGAGAAGCTATTAGGATGAGAAGGAGTTTTGGGCACAGGTACAGCCAACTAGCGCTAGCTAACGTTAGGAACCATAGCTACTTAGCTAGCTAAAACATTAAAATAACATTTTGCGGATTGTGATTGACAAATATTCTGATTCGAATCACAATTGTTTTCAGATTTTTTCAAAAGGATCGCTGTGCTCAACTTATATTATTATTCATATTAATAATTTTACTACAATTCATATTATTAGTCATACCATCTTTGTCTTTGGGTGCAGGTTTGTTATGAAGTACATATGAGAAAAAAGGAGAGAAAAAAAAACAGGGTGACTTGAACATAAAATAAAGCCATTTTTGAACATTATCTGGTGATGAGGCACAGACAGAAATGAGAGGAGGATGAGAAAAGAAGGAAGTAGACTTACTTTGCTCTTCATCATAATCTTCACTTCTCCGGACTCCACAATGTAGAAACAATCTGCCCTGTCCCCCTAAAAATCAACACAAACCAACAGGAACAGTTACAACTCTTCATGGTCATATCATTACCAGTCAGCTTTACAGTAAGGCCAAAACAACCTTCATTATGCTAACAATGGAGAAAGTCCTACCTGCATGATGATGCGTTCTCCATCGGAAAACGTCTTCATTCCTAATACATCCACAATTTTCATCCTCTCAGATAACTAAGAGAGGTAAAGATGTTTGATAAGGAAAAGCAAATTCATATCAAATTAATATCAGTGCTACATTTTTCACCTCCATCCATCTTCCCCTCCTCACCTCCAGAGACTTCAGTAGAGGCACAGACTCCACAAATTGCTCGTACAGCCTCCTCTTCTTGGCATTGTTCTTCACAATGAGCCTACGGAAAGTGGCCCGGTCCTGGTAGTGTCACAGACAGCATCGGTCACGGTCACACAGACAGGCAAGAGGACACTCAATCGCACCGACACAGGCTACACACACAGACAGGCTATTTCCATCTCATGTTAAACATATCTAGTGGGGGAAAGGTATGGATATATCTACCGTAATATCTACTAATCTTCTATAATATCTACAATTATGATCTAATAATATAAATAATGAATAATTTAATCAACTTTTATAGCACTTTTCATTACATAAAAAGTCTTAAAGCACAAATAAATCTCAAAGCACAAAATCTAAGATATATCTACTACACATTAAAAAGACCCACTCCAGCCTCCCTAGCACCTAATTTATCACCTGATTACTTAAAAAGGTCCAATGCAGGGTTATTTATTTTTATCTCAATAGCAAATCATTTCTGGGTAACAATTAAGTACCTTACTATGATTATTTTCAATTAAAATGGTCCAAAATAAACAAAAATTGCTTCTTAGCAAAGAGCAATTTCATAAGCAAGAATTTTGCTAGGACTGTTTGGGAGTCGTCTGAGTGGGGAGGGAAAACGGAAAACTAGCTGTTATTGGCCGAGAGGTTTGGAACTCTTTCTTATTGGTCTGTTAACTAATTTACTGCCTGGTGATGTCACCAGGCAAGCCACAACCATCCCACTAAAAGAGGCTGAAATGTCAGGCGGTCTTTTCAAACAGCTCTTACACTAAAAGGGCATTCTAATAATTTTCACAATTTCACAGTGTGGAAATATATGTAAAACACAGGAAAATCACATGTTTGACTGCACTGGGCCTTTAACAAAAGGTGCATTTCAGTAGCTGGTGCAGGGGTTCTCATGACATGGCACAAGCAAGGGGATGGGCCTTTCCTCTTTTGTCCTCTATTGTTCCCGCAAGCAAGGGGGAGGCCTATGACAGAGTGGACCCATCAGACCAACTACTTGAACTGTCAACTCCTTGAATTTTGCAATTGTGTCTAGAAACACTATTTTGCTCAAAATATATTGTTTTGTGTGTGTACTTTACTGTATTTATACTTGGAATATCGTTATTCAACAGGAAAAGTTCAAAAATAGCTGGAATGGGTCTTTAAAAACAGAACAAAACAGTAAATTTGGCATCTCTAATATATGTCCACTGTGTTATTATTCTCTGTCCACAGGGAGGTGCTGTGGCTGGGCACAGCAGCATGAACTAGAGGTCAAGGGTCAGGACATTGTGTGTGTGTGTGTGTGTGTCTCACCAGGCCCCAGAGCGCCCCCTCCTGGGTGGCGATGATAGTGGCAGCGCGGGGGGTGTTGTACATCAGCGCCAACTCCCCGAAGCTGCCTTTGTTGTCATACTGGCCCACACACTTCCCTACGCCATCAATCAGCACCACTATGTCATAGATTCCTCTGGAAGAAGAAGAGGAGGAGGGAGAGAGTGAGAGAGAGAGCGAGAGAGGGGGGGGGGGGATAGAGTAGAAAGAGACAAAAATTGTCTAATAATATTTGAGAACTCAAACTATATTGAGTATAGCAACTACATATGAGATATTTGGAAACCATGCAGACTACTCTTCATCTACAATAAAGTTGATCACTGATCTAAATCTCTAATCTGTAGCTTGGAGCTGCATGCAGTACGCAGTTAATGGTTTTTTTAAGACCAGTATTAGGCTCCACTCTTGGGATTGACCAACCAGGGGGGGGAGGGGGGACTAAGGGTACTACGAGTTCAGTTCTGGGAATTTACTTTGTGGTCGCCGGTGGAGCATTAACTTTGTATGGGCGGATTAGTATGATGATCACATGGCTATGTAGGTTTCCCATGATGCTTTGCAAGGCAGAGCGTAGGGAGGGAATAGGTTTAACATGCTTATGACGTGCATCTAGCCCTAAGCCTCCCAGGCTGAGGCACTAGCATGACGGAGGAGGAAGCTTAAGGTGCAGAGAGAATAAGCCCACTCATAGCCTATGTCCCAAATGGCACCCTATTCCCTATGTAGTGCACTTCTTTTGACCATAGGGCTCTGGTCAAAAGTAGTGCACTATATATAGGGAAAAGGGTGCCATTTGGGACACAGCCATGGAGCATATCTCACTGGTCATCCCCAAAGCCAACACCTCCCTTGGCCGCCATTCCTTCCAGTTCTCTGCTGCCAATGACTGGAAAGAATAGCAAAAATCTCTGAAGCTGGAGGCTCTTATCTCCCTCACTAACTTTAAGCATCAGTTGTCAGAGCACCTTACTGCACCTGTACATAGCCCATCTGAAATTAGCCCACCCAACTACCTCATCCTCATATTGTTATTTATTTTGCTCATTTGCACCCCAGTATCTCTATTTGCACATCATCTCTTGCACATCTATCATTCCAGTGTTAATACTAATTGTAATTATTTTGCACTATGGCCTATTTATTGCCTTACCTCCATAACTTGCTACATTTGAACACACTGTATATATATTTTCTGTTGTATTTTTGACTTTATGTTTTGTTTTACCCCATATGTAACTCTGTGTTGTTGTTTTTAAATCGCACTGCTTTGCTTTATCTTGGCCTGGTCGCAGTTGTAAATGAGAACTTGTTCTCAACTGGCTTACCTGGTTAAATAAAGGTGAAAAAAATAAATTAAAAAAATAGGCCCAGAGGATCAGGCACAAGGGGGGCTTGTTGGAAGACTAGTGATGGTGTGTTTGTTATGAATGCTGCTTTCTAGTGAATACCTAGATTGTTAGGATTCCTGAGTAACTGCGCACACGCACACCACACCCACCTCTCGATAACGTAGAAGTTGTCTCCGTCGTCTCCCTGGTCGATGACATGCTCCTGGGGCTGGACGCGCAGTTCAAACATGGCGTCCAGGACTTCTGAGAACTGCTCCTGTGAGGGGGAGAGGGGAGGGCAAGGCAGGCAGGAGAGGAGGGGGTGATTAACATCCGCCACCTGCCAAATGCAGGTAGATTTTGGCATTGGCGTGTAGATGTCTATTTCACCAGCCACGTTGGCAGGTGGTCAGGGCTCCACAGTGCGAGCATTTCATTCGCATTTGTGGGTTCTACGATATGGAATTGTTTTAAGATTGTCATACCAAGGATCATTTAGCCATTTGATTTTGAGTTTTAGGCCCCCTTAAGGTATCCCCCCCCAAAAAATATATATATATATATATATTTGATGAAACATAGAATTTGGCCTTACTCACCCAATTTTTTTTAGATGCATGCCAGCAAAGCCACTAGACAACACAACACTAAGCAATACATTAATTGCACTATAACAGTGACAAACGGAGCCCACAAACTGTTAGGGCCTACATAAAGCTGTCCCAACAGCGGAGCTTTCCTTTCAGCACCATGGAGTGAATCCTTACCACCGCTATACTTGGTTATCACCAGGGCCTCGTCTGGCAGCGAAACTGTTCTTTTAGCCTCATTTACTGCCTTTTTAAAAACCACAGCTGATACGGCTGACATACGGTTTCTGACTCCTTGTGGATTTGAGTAACTCGATAAGAACCACATTCTCCTTCAATAATAACGAATGCCGACATGAGTTTTGACCTTTGAACCATACACAAACATTATTACATTTATGGAATGCAAACGAGCTACGACGAGGTAGGCCTATTCGTTCAGCACTTTCAAAATGGACCGCGACAGAAATTCAGGTAGACGTTTGTTCAGATAAATTCAGCAAGATGTTGAGCCCTTAACTTTACTCTTCTTTAAGTCACCACACACAAAGAGAGAGACACAGCACTCAGAAAATCTGGCCCAACCAAATCATCACAAAGCAACAACAACAAAAATATATCACCTACTGGAAAGACAACAAAAAAATCAAAGTAAACTTCAATGCTATTTGGCTCTAAAACAGACAGTACATGGTGGCAGACTATCTGACCACTGATAGAAAACACTGACTAGGTACAGAATCAGTGAGCACAGTCTGGCTATAGAGAGCGGTCGTCACAGGCAAACCTGGCTGCCCAGAGAGGACATGCTGTGCTCACCCTGCTCCAGGGGAGCGGTAGAGACAGAGCTGCATTTCCTATTACACTGTGATAAATACTCCGACCTAAGAGAATCTTTCTTTCCCAAAATTATAATTCAGTACATAGAAATTGAAACTATAAAAGTCAAAGAAAAAATATAATATTTATTGGGTGAAAAGCCAAATATGTGTCCTCCTGCCACAACCTGAGGGACAGCCAGTGAAAAGTGTCAATAATATTTCCCATTTTGTTTTGTTTTGGCTTTCATATCATGTCATGTGGCTTCTCAGTCATGTTGAGACTGGTCTACTACTATTGCTTTAATGTATTGTTATTCTCATTAATATTGTTGTTGTAGTTGCTGTTAATGGTAATCACATTTCCACTACTACTATTATTGATGCCTTATTGCTGTTGGTCCTACCATTTTGAAAATTGAGAGCGCGAGAGAGAGAGAAAGAGACGCAGTTAGCCTACCATTTGAAGTATTTTATTAGGCCTACGTGTTCTAAAAAGTAAGGAAAACACAATCACGAGGATCCACATTTATAGACAATATACCGACGCACAGAGAGCGCATTGGACAAACAAAACAACCCTCGCAGTATCAACTGGAATTACATTGGTGTTTTCCTGAACCTTTTGTTTTAAAAAAAATGTTTGAATGTGAAGAGACTGACTGGCAAACATGGTTACAGACCAAATAATATTATATTTCTCCTCGTGGAGAAAAGCACATGAGCTAATTATAATACACAAAGTAAGCAAAACAATGAAATGCATCATTCCAACATTGGCTAAAATGATTAATAAGATACTAATGAGATAGACCTATATAAGTAATATACACTATATATAAAAAGGTATGTGGACACCCCTTCAAATTAGTGGATTCGGCTATTTGAAAATCGAGCACACAGCCATGCAATCTCCATAGACAAACATTCACAGTAGAATGGCCTTACTGAAGAGCTCAGTGACTTTCAACGTGGCAACGTCATAGGATGCCACCTTTCCAATAAGTCAGTTTGTCAAATTTCTGCCCTGCTATAACTGCCCCGGTCCACTGTAAGTGCTGTTATTGTGTCTAGGAACAACGGCTCAGCCGCGAAGTGCCAGGCCACACAATCTCACAGAACAGGACCACTGAGTGTTGTTGATGTTTTTAACCCCTTATTTTAGGCACTAAACTATCTCCATATATACTTCTATAAATTTGAAAAACTGGTACCCAGCTACCTTCAGACTAGCAAAACAACCGACGCGTATGTGTTCATGAGAGACTCGGCTTTCCATAGAGTGAGCTTGTGGGGGGGCGTAGTGCGAAACGGAGAACACCATCGTGTCCGTGGGAGTCTCATCTTTCCATAGAGGGGTCATAATAGTTTGTAGGCCAAACCGTTTGGCCGCTACAGACGTGAGAAGACCGATTTCCGGGATGTCTCATGGTCTGACAAACACCGCTCTAGCTCTGCCACCTTTCAGCGCAGGTGAGACATCGGCGGATGCGGTGGATTGAGTCGCAGCCCTCGCATAAAAAACAGATACTGTATCTCTAGCTTAAACTGACGGATTTTGATGCTGATTTTTTTATTATGCTAATTAGATTTCCGTGGACATCGACTCTAGGGGGTTAATGATAGAAGGTGTGAGTTGTGCCCGTCTGGCAGCTTGTGTATTAATGTGTGTTACTGAGTGTACCAGGAAATAAACAAACTAAATACCAGGACATACAGATGGGAGCAGTAACCATTTATTCCAAAAGACTGAACGACTCATTGCAATACTTTTGAATTTAATGAGTGTTCTATTAGGTGGTGAATGTGCTGATGTGAACTACAACCTATTAGAACAGAAGCGCATATGACTGTGTGGCTCATTATAACCTCGAATAATGTGAAGGGGTTTCCCGTCACTGTGGTTACGGCGTGTCTGTCTTCGTACCTGTTCCAGGGTCTTGAACAGTAGAATATCTTTGCAGGCGTCCTGCAGTCGACAGCGCTGCTCGTCTGTTTTGGGATGCACCACCCTCGGCTCCTCCACCTCGTCATCGTCGTCTGGGTTAAAGGCCTCCGCGCACACTAGTGGGGAACACTTAAATTGTAACACAATGCTGTGGGGGGGAGTGTAACACATACAGTGGGGGAAAAAAGTATTTAGTCAGCCACCAACTGTGCAAGTTCTCCCACTTAAAAAGATGAGAGAGGCCTGTAATTTTCATCATAGGTAGATGTCAACTATGACAGACAAATTGAGGAAAAAAATCCAGAAAATCACATTGTAGGATTTTTTATGAATTTATTTGCAAATTATGGTGGAAAATAAGTATTTGGTCACCTACAAACAAGCAAGATTTCTGGCTCTCACAGACCTGTAACTTCTTATTTAAGAGGCTCCTCTGTCCTCCACTCGTTACCTGTATTAATGGCACCTGTTTGAACTTGTTATCAGTATAAAAGACACCTGTCCACAACCTCAAACAGTCACACTCCAAACTCCACTATTGTCAAGACCAAAGAGCTGTCAAAGGACACCAGAAACAAAATTGTAGACCTGCACCAGGCTGGGAAGACTGAATCTGCAATAGGTAAGCAGCTTGGTTTGAAGATATCAACTGTGGGAGCAATTATTAGGAAATGGAAGACATACAAGACCACTGATAATCTCACTCGATCTGGGGCTCCACGCAAGATCTCACCTCGTGGGGTCAAAATGATCACAAGAACGGTGAGCAAAAATCCCAGAACCACACGGGGGGACCTAGTGAATGACCTGCAGAGAGCTGGGACCAAAGTAACAAAGCCTACCATCAGTAACACACTACACCGCCAGGGACTCAAATCCTGCAGTGCCAGACTTGTCCCCTTGCTTAAGCCAGTACATGTCCAGGCCCGTCTGAAGTTTGCTAGAGTGCATTTGGATGATCCAGAAGAGGATTGGGAGAATGTCATATGGTCAGATGAAACCAAAATAGAACTTTTTGGTAAAAACTCAACTCGTCGTGTTTGGAGGACAAAGAATGCTGAGTTGCATCCAAAGAACACCATACCTACTGTGAAGCATGGGGGTGGAAACATCATGCTTTGGGGCTGTTTTTCTGCAAAGGGACCAGGACGACTGATCCGTGTAAAGGAAAGAATGAATGGGGCCATGTATCGTGAGATTTTGAGTGAAAACCTCCTTCCATCAGCAAGGGCATTGAAGATGAAACGTGGCTGGGTCTTTCAGCATGACCATGATCCCAAACACACCGCCCGGGCAACGAAGGAGTGGCTTCGTAAGAAGCATTTCAAGGTCCTGGAGTGGCCTAGCCAGTCTCCAGATCTCAACCCCATAGAAAATCTTTGGAGGGAGTTGAAAGTCTGTGTTGCCCAGCGACAGCACCAAAACATCACTGCTCTAGAGGAGATCTGCATGGAGGAATGGGCCAAAATACCAGCAACAGTGTGTGAAAACCTTGTGAAGACTTACAGAAAACGTTTGACCGGTGTCATTGCCAACAAAGGGTATATAACAAAGTATTGAGAAACTTTTGTTATTGACCAAATACTTATTTTCCACAATCATTTGCAAATAAATTCATTAAAAATCCTACAATGTGATTTTCTGGATTTTTTTACCTCATTTTGTCTGTCATAGTTGACGTGTACCTATGATGAAAATTACAGGCCTCTCTCATCTTTTTAAGTGGGAGAACTTGCACAATTGGTGGCTGACTAAATACTTTTTTTCCCCACTGTACTGGGGGAACAATATTACTGTAACACTTACATTGTAACAAAGACTGGGGGTGGGGTTATACTGTAACACACATATTGGGACCAGAATCAATTCACCTAAAGAGTCATAGTGCTAGTCA